TTTCCGCTCAGTCCCTGAACCTTTCGTATTCTACTTCCAGCCCCACCCCCCCCCACCTTTCTCTCTCCGTTACATTTTCATCAAAAGGAAGATCCTAAACAGAAACTGAGGGTAGGGCTGTGGAGGACACTGTGGCCAAATCCCAGCAGCGTGTTTGCAGATGGACCCTGTTTGCCTCCTGCTTGTCACTGTGATGGACCAGGGCAGTCGCCACCAGAGGGCATTTTTTCGGGCATTATAGCTCCCCCTGGTGGGCACTTGCTTATTACAGAATCACTGCCTAAAACAAAACAAAACAAAAACTTGCCCGCATAAAGATGCTCATAAACTTTAACCCCATGTGATTCCACTCCTAGGGATTTATCCTGATGAAAAAAATCAAAATAATATATGGGTGACATGAACCAAATTTCCAGCAATAAAGGTGTATAAATTTTGGTACATCAACATGAGAATCTAAGGGAGCCATAAAAATGTTGAACACAAAGACATGGAAAATTCCTCATAGAATACAAAGAATATTAAGAATTGCAAAAGCTATGTGGCAATCATGCAATTGAAAATTTCATCTTTTTTGTGTAGAGAGAGTATGGGTAATTTTTAACTTTTTTCCTTGAAAGCTACTGTGTCTATTTTTTTTTTATTTTTCAATGTTTTATTTATTTCTGAGAGAGAGGCAGCGTGAGCAGGGGAGGGCCAGAGAGGGAGGGAGACACAGAATATGAAGCAGGCTCCAGGCTCTGAGCTGTCAGCACAGAGCCCGAGGTGAGACTCAAACCCACGAACTGCAAAATCATGACCTGAGCCAAAAGACGCTTAACCGACTGAGCCACCCAGGCGCCCCTCCTATGTCTGTTTAATTACTCCCCACCTTCTGTGTAACTGTGGACTCTCTCTCCATCTGTTTGTAATGATAGTGACGCTAGTTAGCTTCCTAGGCAATTACCAAGTCCGGTAGGCTGGCGGCTCAAACAACAGAAATCAATTTTCTCAGAGCTGTGGAGGCTAGCAGTCCAAGATGAAGGGGTTGGCAGAGTTGATTTCTTCCGAGTCCTCTCTCCTCTTGGCATTTACAGATGGGTGCCTTCTCCCTGTCACATCATCTTCCTCCCATAGGCGTCTGTGTCCTTTGAAGACACCAGTCATATTAGGTTAGTGTCAACCCTAATGACGTCATTTTAACTGAATTACCTCTCTAAAAAATCCTGTCTGCAAACCTGGCCACATCCTGAGGTCCTGGGGTTAACACTCCCACCTGTGAATTCAGGGACCATTATGATAGTAGCACTTATTTATATAGAATATTGCTTCTTTATATTTAGACGATTTTATAATTGTTCTAACGAAAGCACTCCCTATGAGGCAAAAGGCAGTATCATGTTTTCCCAGTGCCGTAACCACCGTCAGCAAACCAATAAAAGTTGTAATGATTAAAATGACATTTAGAGCAATTATTTAAAGAAAATAGATCTTGGGGAGGCTGCCTGCTTCAGTCGGGTAAGTGTCTGACTCTTAATTTCTGCTCAGGTCATGATCGGACGGTCATGGGATCAGGCCCCACCTTGAGCACCGCACTGGACCTGTTTAAGACTTTCTCTCTCCCTCTCCACCCCTCCCCCACTCGCACGAGCGCTCTCGCTCTCTCTCAGAAATAAAAATGAAACTGATCCTATTCACTGAGTTCTTCCCCTCTCGGTTGATTTATGAACTGTGGTTAAGATGATGCTTGTTTCACAAATGGTTCCACAGCAATCTTATTCTGCCCGTGTCCCAGGGATCACTGTGTATTCATGTGTTACACTCATAGGTTGACAGATCTGTATCTTTGTATTAAGTATGTCTAAGGATGTGACAAATGCAGCTTTAATAATATTATATAGTATTGTATTATAGTGTATACGTACACACCGCTATATATATTCTTACTACTGACATACATACATAAGTTCAATTATTTAAAACTGCCCAAGAGACCCGAATCCTGCTTTTGCTTTTCAAACTACTGCTTTATGAATTACAAGTGTCATATTTTCTTGGCCAATCAAAATCCTGTTATTTTTGAAATTATTTACTTATCCTCCTAGGTTCTGTGGATTGATTATTACAGTGTTGGCCTCTCACTATAAAGTACTAAATGATTTCAGGAGAATAGAAAGAATGAATGAAAGTGAGACTCCAGATGTTTAGTCTCAGCCTACTAAATTAGCCCGCATTCATCTCTGTCTGCAGAATGCCCGAATAGGTACATTTGTGAAGATTTACCAGAAGAAAGAGGATATTTATCCCTTTAGGGCCTCCGTTATTGGAGCTGTCACCCATGGGGCCCTCGCTGCTCTTTCCAGTAAATATCTTCTGCAAGCCTGGGGCTTACAACATCCGGGCGTGGGAAGAATATAAGTATCACCTCTTGTATGTGATAACGACTGGGAATTTGGGAATTGGAGCTGTCTGGGTGGGGGGGAGGGAGGGAGATTACTTTGCCAGTTTATAGACAGCAAAACTGAGGCCTTCAAAACTCATGATTTATTTAAGGCAACAGTGCAGGTCAGGGACAGCCCCGGGATGAAAACCAATTGTTTCTGAGCCTCTCCAGATAGATTGCCAGGCCCATGAATCATCCCGCCACTTATGTAAATAAAATAGCAAGTGAGATGGAAGAGTCTTGTCAGTTCTGACTACTGGATACCATAACCTTTTCAAACCCTGTCTTTTCTTTAATGATGACAGTAATTTTTTAAATGTTTTTTCTGACTCTTAAAACATGCAAATAATAGGGTTTTTGTTAAATGCATATTGGACAGTGAGTCCTACAATTAAGCACACAACCTCCCGAGGGAAGCAAGGTGGAAAATAGATACATTTTCATTACAAGTAGAATTACACTATCACACTATTTCTGCATCTTGTCTTTTTTTGTTTATTTGGCAAAATGTTACAGATATCCTTCCATGATGGCACAGAAAGATCTACCTTATCTTTTTACTGGTTACCTATATCCCACTGTATATAGGATTTGTCCTGTGTGTCTGTTGGATTTATCACTTATTTAATGAGCCCACACTACTTCCTAAGGCAAATCATGGTAGCAGTCGTCTTTGATGAACTTCTTTTCTGCACTTGTGAAATTGCTGGACTCAAAGACAGATTCCATTTAGTTTTTTTCCAGTGTAACTAATTTGTTTTTCTTTTTAAAAATATGTTTAAGTTTATATCTTTAGAGAGAGAGAAAGTGTGAGTGGGGGTGGCACAGAGAGAAAGGAAGAGAGAGAGAATCCCAAGCAAGCTCTGCCCTGTCAGCTCAGAGCCGATGCAGGGCTCGAACTCATGAACTGTGAGATCATGACCTGAGCCACAGTCAGACACTTAACCAGTTGAGGTTGCCTGACCTACCCAAGGACCCCTGTTTTTATTGATTTCTTTACTTTTTGATCTGTTTCATTCTATCTACAGGACCTGTAGAATCAACTTACTGCCTTGATTTTCTGGAATGAACGATACTGATATGACTATATAATAAATAACCTTTGAGAAAATAGTACTTTATCAAGGCCAAAATACATGATTAGCATTTTTTATTATTTTCATTTGAGTTTTATATGCTCAACCCATCTCTAGCTAAGAAGTAGTGACAAAGAAGCCCTTGAACCCGAGCTGCCTCGTTAGGGTGGGACTTTTTTTTTTTTTTTAATAGTTTATTGTCAAGTTGGTTTCCATATAACACCCAGTGCTCATCCCCACAAGTGCCCTCCTCCATGCCCATCACCCCCCGCCCACTTCCCATCAGCCCTCAGTTTGTTCTCAGCATTCAAGAGTCTCTCATGGTTTGCCTCCCTCCCTCTCCCCAACTATTTTCCCCTTCTTCTCCCTCATGGTCCTCTGTTAGCTTCCTCCTAATCCACCTATATGTGCAAACATATGATATTTGTCCTTCTCTGTCTGACTTATTTCACTCAGCATAACACCCTCAAGGTCCATCCATGTTGCTACACAGGGCCAGATTTCATTCTTTCTCATTGCCATGGAGTATTCCATCGTATAGATAAACCACATCTTCCTAATCCATTCGTCCATTGATGGACACTTAGGCTCTTTCCATGTTTTGGCTGTTGTTGAGAGTGCTGCTATGAACATTGGGGTCCATGTGCCCCTATGCATCAGCACTCCTGTATCCCTTGGGTAAATTCCTAGCAGTGCTATTGCTGCGTCATAGGGGAGTTCTATTGCTAATTTTTGGAGGAACCTCCACAGTTTTCCAGTGGGGCTGCACCAGCTTACATTCCCAGGGTGGGACTTCTGAATAGGGTGTTTTCAAATGCTGTCTAACTCACCTGGGGTGTGCATTCCTGATGGGAACCCCCCCCCAGGGTATAGATCCCAGCTAACCAGCACACACAGCTGCTCACCCAATTATAAAGTGAATGACAGCGTTTCCCCAGCTTGTAGCACCGAGTGGAGGGCATGTAGCACCTGGTCTTTGTGGGATGCACAAGGGACGCACGTACACCCTGACATCTGTGTGCATGTGCTAGGTGTGAGCAACTCCACTTGACCTAAACACAGTAGACTATCCAGACTTTTTCTCCTTCTTGGAAGCCTTTTGTGGTCGAGGTAGTGGTCTCTGAAATGGAAGCAGCCACTCCCCCCTGCAGCCTGGAGGGAACAGCCTTCAGTATCCGTGGCCCCCTCCCCCCACAGCCCCCTCCCATCCTGTCCCGTCTCCAGCCCCCAGGTGCACCCTGGCCCCAAGCCTCGATGGCCGTGAGCGCCACCTCAGACCTTGTGAAAAGTCGACCTCCTGAGCTCCTCGCCCCGGGGTTCTGATCCACTCAGGGTGCACCCGAGTGCAAACCGCGAAGCTCTTCACAAGCAAGAGCATCTTGCCCTGGGTCTCGGCGTGAACCTTGGCGATCTGCCCGGTGGGTGTGAAAGACCCCGGCTTCGATCCCTCGGTGCCTACTAACCAGTTGTTACAAAGATGTTCTTCTCCCCTTCCGCACCAGCCTCCAGCGCAGCCAAGTGTGAGAAGCTGCAGAAGGAGAGGGAGGACCTGGAGCGGAGGTTTGAGGAGCAGGTGCGCCAGCTGGGCGGGCAGCAGCAGGCGGAGCTCCGGGCCCTGGAGGAGAGGCTGCAGGCGCAGTTCCAGGCCGAGGCCGTGCGGCTGCAGGAGGGCCACCGCGCCCAGCTGCTGCGGATCCGGTGTCAGCACCAGGAGCAGGTCAGTCTCCGCTCGGGGCTCTTGCCCTGCTGGTGGGACCCGCAGGTGGAAGGCGGCGGGGGGTGGGGGGGGGGGCAGCACTGCCTTAGCCAGAAGTCCTGCTCCGAAGGTGAAGTTCACCCTCCGGCCTCGCCTCTCCCTCACTCTCCTGCCCTCCCCTCTCTCCAGCCACCCTGCTTCCCAGGCAGGCTTCCACCTGGGCGCTTTTGCATTTGCTCTGCCCTCGGCCTGGAATGCTCTCCCTCCGGACCTTCCATGGCTCCCTCTTTCCGTCTCACCCGGATTTTTCTCCCGGCGCTTTCTCGGTGAGGCCTGTCCTTATCTAAAATGACAGCCCGTCCCCCACCACCTACACTCTCTCCCTGTCCCCTTCCTGCTCTAGGGTCCCCTCAGCGCTTATCGCTGTTGACAATACTAGTAATTTTCCTTGGGTCTTCTCTTTCTCATGTGCGTATTCCACGAGGGCAGCGATAATAACAGGCACACACGCATCCAGCCCTTGAGATGCGCCAGGGACTGCTCTTAACTCTCTGCTTGTATAACTCGTTTACTCCTCACAACACCCCTACGAGGTGGGTACCGTTATCATCTCCATCTTATGGGTGAGAAAACCGAGACCCAGCGGTCACAGAGCTGGTCATGGAAAAGCCAGGGCGGGAGCGAGTCTGACTGCAGAGTGCATGCCCTCCAGCGTGGAACTAGAATTGTCTTCCAGGCGTCCTGACTAGCGGCAGATGCCTGTGTGCCCAGGCCGGCCCTGCGCATGCACCTGCTGGGTGAAGGAAGGAACCCCGCTGGTTGACCTCAGCCCAGCAGGCTTCTCAGAGAGGGCGACGCACGCCGGGGCAACTGGAGAGGACTCCCGGGGTTGTGCTCCCCCCAGGCCCTGACCCTCCAGGACCGCCTTTCCGGCAGTGAGATAGCGGGTCAGCCTCGCTTCCGGGAGCACCTATGCGACTCCTTTCTTTGCTCTCCTTTCCAAGTCCCCAGGGCTCTGAGCCCCAATGCCCACCTCCTAACAGGTGTGTTATTTCACCTCAGCTGCTCGCGACATCTCTAAAGTAAACTGGCATTTGCGAAGAGCGCCCTTTAAATCTCAGGCGAGCATTGAGTGGCTTCATTATTGTGAATGAATCTGGCCATCTCGCCCTGGCAGCCCAGCACCATTGGGAATCATGGTGAAGCCGACGGGGTGCTGCCCAGGGGGTGCCCCAGCGGTGGGGCGGGGAGGAAGGGGGCGGCTGCGGCACCTCTGCGGGATGCCTGCGGCCATCAGTCATCTTGTCCCCCCCGGCCACGCCCCTCCTCCCAGACCGCCGCCCTTTAACACAGTCTGGATTTAATAAATTCATATGGGTGTTTAACTTAAAAAAAAAAAAAAAAAAGTCGGTCACAAACACTCAGGCTGCCTCCTCGGACTGCTTCCAAACAACCACCCTGGGCGGTGGCGGTCCCCAGGGCTTGGGAACACAGGAGACCAGGAACCAAGTCAGAGTAGTGCTACGTACTGTTGTCATTTAAAATCTCCCGTTTGTCAGCACTTTATTCAGCTCCTCAGGCGAGCATTCTCCTTTTCTAGAGGCCTGTGGAAACCAGACCCACCTGCTTGCTCGAGCTGCTGTAGACCTTGAGTCCAGGAAACAGAATAGCTTACAGCTGGAGTTACCTGCTGCTGCTAAGATTAGAAACCGAGCCCAGCATCTCGCCTCCTGAGCTTGTAGAGCAGAGCTCCCGTGAGTGGACGCTTGCACCTGCCGCTGTGGGTGCCCTGCCACTAGCCTTCCCCAGTTCCTGGCCCCTCAGTCCACCTCCGACGTGCGTAGGTACCAGCTCGTCGGGTGCTTCTGTATGGGCTGTCCAGTCCCACTTTTACGCGCAATGCCTTCTCCCCCATATTCGCTAAGAGACTTCTGGTCTGAAGATCTGCGGTCACCAGCAGGAGAAGGTGCTTTGAGGGAGCCCTCTGAGCAAAGGTTCATGTGGCGAACGGAAACCACTGCGCTGAGGCCACAGCCAGGGCGAGCCCATCCACCAGCCCGTCCACTGGGGCCTCACTCGAGTTTTACTGTGCAGACACGCACGCCTGGAGATGTGCTCTCGCCTGGCCTCTAGGCCGGGCCACAACGGCCTCGTAGAGATTTTACACCAGGGATTATTAGAAAGAGACAAAGGCCCTGACTTTTCCACTTGAGAACGAGTTACATAAGCTACCTGTGTATATTTAAGAAGTGCTCTGTTTTGTGAAGGCTCTGAGTTCTGCCCTTGATCCTTCATCATAAATAGCTAGTGGTTCATTTATTTATTCATCTATGCAAAGGGTATTGAGCGAATGCAACTGTCCGCCAGGCATTTTGGCAGGCCAGCGCGAGAGATACCAAGATGTAGAACATATGGGCTTGCTCTAGCCGCAGGTTACAGATCAGGGAAAGTTCTGAGACGTGCGCCCAAGAAGCTGTAATACTGGGTGAGAAGTCCCGAGGATGCGCTTAGGAATTTAGATTCCTTCCAGCTATGAAGATAAGGGAAAGCGTTATGGTGAAAATCGCTTCTCAAGACTTTCTATGTGAGTAAACCTATGAAATTGCATTGGTCTGGGAGAGTGGATGGCGGTTTAAATCTATGAATTATTCAGGTCCCTAATTCTACCGCTGCTGCTGCGTCCCCTCCTCCAGCAGAAAGCATGCAGGCGGTGAGGAAGAAGGTGAAACGCACATCAGCCCAGTATTCCAGTTTCCAGACAGAATAGAGGTTTATTTGTTTAGCTCAGGTGAGAGTCACGTGTATGAGCGCAGTGGAGATTTGGACTGTCGGCCGCCCGTGTCCGTTACCCGTGCGGGAACCCCACGCTCAGTGGGGCCTCCATATCAGGGACAATTGCATTTGGCAGCGCCAAGTCCGCAGGTGGCCATATCTCTGTGCTTCTGGAGCCTTCAAAATCAAGTTAACTGATCTGTCTTCTCCTCACGCCCCCACCCCCCATGGCTGGCAGTGGGGAGGCGGCGGCCACGTGCAGGGTTTTCAGAGGCTTTCCTCAAGCTGGGAGCCCTCTGTTCAGGCAGGCTGACCTCTGAGTTCCCTGCAGGATCTCCCGTAGAACAAATCCAGCCCTTTGGTCACCTGGAGGGGCAAAGGCTGGCTGTGCCTACACGTGGGAATCACTTGGGGCACCTTATGACAAAACACACCTCATCGTCCTTAGGCCACAGGAATTAAATCAGAGCTGCTGAGCAGGTCCTGTCCTGGGAGTTGGTAAAATCTCCCCCAGGGCCCAGCACCACAGGGATCCTGGGATGTGCAGGGCTCTGTCCCCAAGTCCCCGGTTAGGGGCGCCAGCAGGGTTAGTGGTCTTACCTCTTGGCCTCTCCAGTGACTTCCAAGATATGGCATGACTTCTGTTTTTAACGTATGACTCAAAGGTGTTTCATTAAAGTCAGCTCTCATTCTATTATGTGTCACTAGTTGAACATTAATAGGAGCCAGATTTCCAGAACGCCCCCTTTTTTTTAAATTTTTTTTAATGTTTTTATTTATTTCTAGGAGAGAGAGAGAGAGAGAGACAGCGTGAGCAGGGGAGGGTCAGAGAGAGAGGGAGTCACAGACTGAAACAGGCTCCAGGCTCTGAGCTGGCAGTCAGCACAGAGCCTGACGCGGGGCTCGAACCCACGCACCGCGAGATCGTGACCTAAGCGAAAGTCGGACGCTTAACCGACTAAGCCACCCAGGCGCCCCCAGAACGTCCCTTTCTTGAAGCACGCAAAACCGATTTTCCCTCTAAACACATATGCTGTTCCCTTCCTGCCCCAAACGTAGTTCCTTCTCTGGGCTGCCTGTGGCTGTTCCCCAAAGATGCTAAGCTGCAGAGTCTGGTGTTCAGGGATCAGATCTATGAACTTTGACCCCCTCACTCCAAGACCCTTTGGCAGTTTGTCTTACTCCCCAACCTGGCCCGGAAGCCACCAGTCCGGGGCCGCTCGTTCCTACGTGCGTTATGGGTTATGCTCAGTAAAGCGGGAGCAGAGCCCTCCTTGAGGAGCAGATGGGGTCCTCGGGAGTTTCCACCCGCTTTGTCTCCTATCCCGGACATGCTTTCTACCCTTTCCCCCCCCCCCCAAAAATCATCCTTATAGATGCACTGGCGGGCTCAGCCTCCCCATGCCTGATCAGAATGTACAGAGGCCACTTTGCCCATCATCTTGCATTATGTCTCTTTGGGCCTGCGTTGCAGGCAGTCAGCTTCCATCAGCGGAAAGTGCAGTCTCCCTAATCAGACAGAGTGAGGTCCCCAGGGGTCCTCAGGCTTCCAGCACCAGAGCCCCCACAGGCAGGGGGTTGGAGGCGGTACCGGGAAGATAGGGGCTTCTGTGAACTGATGCCCATGTGCTGGGCTGTGGAGGGGCGACCCGTGCTGGGCTGTGGAGGACGCGATGAAGGTGGCCTGGGGACTGTGGCTGGGCCAGCTGCCTGCCCTGAGTCCATGCCCAGGACACTGTAGCAGCACCAGAATGGAAGGGAAGGAGGGGTTCCTTGTTATCTAGAGAGGAACATTAGGAGAGCCCTGGAGGGAGTACGCCTGGGCGGGCTCCCTCTGTCTCATCAGATATGAATATGGTGTCTGGAGTGAGGGTAAATGGGAATTTAATCTGGTTTGGGTTTAATCAGTAAAACCAAGTCAATACACAGCACTGGCTGCTTCATTCTAAAGGTAAGTGAATTGCCAAAGCCTCAGACAATTGCATTTTGCAAAGTATTCAGTGAGGCAGGCTAGACAGTGGCGTTCTTGCCTCACTGAGAAGGTGGTTTTCCCAGCCTTTGCTCTGCTTAAAGGCGGCCCCGCTGTCCGGCGAGCGGCCGTGGAGTGGAGCAGTGTCTCTGCATGACTGGCACCACTAGACGGACACATTGACAGTGACCGACTCCTCTGTGGCACAGCCCTCAGCTCCCTGTCCCTGGAGAAGGGAGGAGGATGGTCCGGGGTTCGAGGGAGCCTACCCCAGGTCCTAAAAGGAAAAGAAGGATGCTTCACCCAGCGCGAGTTCGCTGTGGCCCAATCTAAGTTAGTGCCTCTTGCCTCTGACTGGGTGCTCGGTGCCCAAAGTGACCTTGTGTTTCCCTCGGTTCAACTTGGCATGAGTCCGCTCACGTGCCTTGAGCAGCTTTCTCAGGCTGACAGCCCTTACTGGCTGCTCGGGACTGTGAGTCCGTGCTCCAGGCGGAAGCCAGCAGCCGTGAGAAATGTCGTGGGGATTCATACTGTGACAAGAGCGAGCCGCCCCTTTCTGGTATTCTTTAAAAACCATAAAGACGTATAGAAACCTTAACTGCTGAAGAGTAATGATTACTATGCCCAAATTTTGGTTCATTGCTCTCCTTGGTTTCCTTCAAAACATACTGGGCTTTCCTCTCATTGCCTTTCAGAGTTACGGACTTAGTACTTCCTTCCTAAAAGCACCTCTGAGGGGCTGGGGCAGTTAGGTCGTGCCCTCACATCATCCTTCGCATGTTGGGGGCAGTGGTTTATCACCACTGAGTCAAAGATTTGCCTTCCACCAGACCAGAGGGCCATGTGTCTGGCCACAGACATAATGCAGCATTGCCAGTCAGGGCATACCCCCTCCAGGGGTACATGGGACGCTTCTGGAACTTAGCCTCTTTCCTGAAACCACCCATGGCAGTTTCTGGAAGAGCCCAATAAATTAGAATCATACCGAGGCCTGATGAAAGATTTTCCTTTATACCGAACTGGGTAACATAAGTCCAAATAGCGTATGGGTCCTTGTTCCTCTAGTGCTCTGTGGGCTTAACTGACATCAGTAGTAAAGCAGGAAGAAAAGTTATTTCCATTTTTTTTAAAGCCAGTGATCTACTTTTTCAAGAGACTAAAAGGCTTTGGACGAAGATGCCGTAACAACCTCATATAAACAGGAATTGGACAATGAAGCAGTGTGGTGATCAGCCTTTCTGCTGGGTGGACTAGAGCTCTGAGCCGTAAGGAAAATACTGTTTAATCAAGAAGGGCCAGTAAATAAATGAGAACCCATGCCTCCATGTCCATTTTCCTATGATAATGCAGCTTTTCTCACACAGTGGAGTTCATTGTTGATTTTGCCAGTGATATTTCTGTTTTAGCGAATGAAGTTTTCAGGAATCTATCCCGTTTTAAAATAAAAATACTCCAGTGCATCCACTTTACGAGTGGGCTTCCTTTCTCATGGAGAACCTTCCTCCCTTCAGATCACAGGTCAGCTTGTGAATTATGCCCAGACAGATGAGGGACCTAGACCCCCTCTGAGTGGGTGGCTGAATGTTACTGGTGAGAAGCAATGTAATTGCGAGAAGCAACTGGTCCACCAGAGAGCTTCAGGGCCCGGGCCCATTTCCTGGTTCAGTGTTTCTCAAATGCCAGGTTTCAACACAGTAGGCTGTGAAATAAATTTAGTGCTTCTCAACTGGCATTTTGGAAAACAAAATAGATAGGAATGCTAAAGTTAGATTATTGCAAACAGGAAGGGAAAGTGTTGCTTTGGGGAACTTGGGTTTTAGGGGCATGCACACTCAGGCGTGATGTAATACACGGCGGTGTTTTTTACCAGTGGGTCACGGACCAGGAATTTGGAAAAACATTCTTCTGGTGTGCTATTATTGGGAGAGGTTTTTTTGGTTTGGGTTTGGGGTTTTTTTTGCAATTGCTCCTGAACGTCCCATATTTGAAGTTAAAGCAATAGCCACAACAATAAGAAACACAGAAAACACATAGGGAGTGCTGGTTTGCAGAGATCGGGAAGGGGGAAAATAAAAATCCTGAACCAGCTGCATCACCTGTGATTACAGTCTGGAAATGTGCCCTCAGCCAGGGAAACGGGAGCAGCCCCATGTTGCCAGGGCGGGAGGTCCAGGTTCCGCGGAAGCAGGTGCAGCGAGCGCACACAGATCCGCCAGCCTGCCTCAGTGCTGGTGAGAGGGTCCCAAGGCGTTCGCTGGCAGCCTTGCTGGGGGAGGCAACACCGTGTGTTTGAGAGAGTTTTGCCTGTGGAGTCAGACATTGACGAGCCCTTGGCCATGGGCATAAAAGTACCTACTTTGTGATGTTGCTGTGACTGAGTGCAGTAACCAAGAGCAGGTGCTTTCACAGAGGTTAGGTCACTTAATGTGCCTTGTGCATTGATGCTCCCGTCTGTCACTGGGCAACAGAGAGGGGAGCGTCCAGTAGAGGACCCTCTTCTTTTCCTTATATACCACTGCCTCATAGTGATTGGTGACGGGGAAGGGACAGGAGTAGGAAGGGGGTGGGTCGGAAGCCAGGCCCAGGCCCGTGAAGAGATGACTGTGGGGAGCTGGCCCCTATGGGGAGCCGCCATCTTCTGTGGACAGCCGGGCTGTGGCAGTTACTTCCCTGTAGCGCCCCCCCCCCATGCCTAATTCAGGGCCATGTCATCACCAAAGCCTGGCTCTACTGCTCTCCTCCCTTGGCGCAAGCCCGGGATAGCCGTCATCTCAGCAGAATATCTTGCCCTTGACATTTGGGGCCACAGACCTTTCTACTGGTGGAATTCTACTCATGTTCTCCAAGCAGCAAGGACACTGCTGCCACCCACCCCCCCAGTCTGTGTCTAACCATACCTGTGGCCTCCTTCAGGTAGAAGATATCACGGCCAGCCATGAGGCCGCTGTCCTGGAGATGGAGAGTAACCACACGGTAGCCATCGCGATCCTGCAGGATGACCACCACCACAAGGTCCAAGGTAGCTAGCAGCCTCGAGATGTGGGCCATCCAGGGCGGGTCATGCGAGCCACACCCTTCCTGCCTGCCCTTCTTGCTCCTCTTCCCATTTTCCCTTCCTTTCCTTCCTGCTGTGTCTTCTGTGTTGCTTCCTGTGGAAAGAAGAGATGGAAATCCAGGACCCATCCAGGGAACTCCTTCTTCCTCAGAAGCAGTTCCCCCTCAGCCTGGCCTGGAATGAGAACCCTAGAGCATTGTCTCAGGGGCCGACGCCCGGCCCCGGTCCCACCCGGGGCTCCTCTGTGGCTGCCATGGGGTGCTGCTGGCCGTCATGATTGCTCACAGCTCCCAAGATGATTCTGACGGGTCCCCAGTCTTGAGAACCACTATTCCAAAGCAGGCCTGGAGATCCTGGGCTTTATCTTGTCTCAAAACGTCTTAAAACAAAATGTCAGGCCGTTGCAGGTCAGTGCACTTCCCCCACATTTGTGGTGCCCTCGGGGCCATAGCAGCGTCCAGCTAGATCTGCATCTCCACACCTCACAGTCCTGCACCGTGTTCCCTGTGGGCTAAGTGGAGTTCCAAATGGTGGGATTTCCTTTTACATTTTTGTAACTTGAATTATCTTTCAGTACGTAGAGGCTTTTGTGGGTCACAAAGACAGTAGCATTTACTGATTCTACTAAGATTTTGACCTTGTGAAGGAACCTTTTTTTTGACATACATGTACATTAACATTTACAATTTATTTTTCAATGTCTACCCCCCTTGCTTGTTTTCTCCTAGTCAGCTGATTGTGAAAAGTATATTTAAAACAATGAAATGTAATACATAGATTAATAAATTTTAAGAATTTGAAACTTCACATTAGAGTTTAATTTTTTTTAATTTTTAAAAAATAATTATTTATTAGAGAGAGGGAGAGAGCAAGCAAGGGAGGGGTGGAGGGAGAGGGAGAGAGAATCCTAAGCAATCTCTGTGCTTTCAGCACAGAGCCCCACATGGGGCTTGATCTCATGAACCATGAGATCATGACCTGAGCCAAAATCAAGTGTCGGATGCTTAACGGACTGAGCCACCTCAGGCGCCCCTTAAAATTATTTAAGGCTATTGTGTTGCCTTTTGTTTCTGTATTTTCATAAAAATAGGCCTGGTAGATTTTTGTGATGAATGAAATCTCACTTAGACGCCATATCCAAGACCTTTGAATTATATATAAATGTCAAGGCATTGTAGATGTATTTAATGATAGCTAAAAAATTTATTACTGTGGTCAGGATGGTGCTTTCAATGACCATTAAAACTAATCATGTAGACGGAGCCAGGTTGACCAGAAGGCTACATGGCTTTATATCAATGAAATCAGCACAAACTTTTTTTTCCCCCCAAATGTAATTTCAGCTATAAACAACTGGATTTCTTAGAGACTTTCACCATCATTACTTAAAAGATTTCAGTCAATGGAAACCACAAAGTCTTTCCTAGTTGCCGCTCATGCCAGCCAGAATGATAATTGCTGACCTCCAGTGCTCTCCTGTTCTAAGCATGTGATCCTGGCTGATTAATGAGACCTTTCCTCCCTGCAGTTATACCATGAAAACAAATTGCTTGTGTAGCCAGAATGAGATAAGCTTCGCCCAGCTAATAAGTCTCTTCCCATCTGGAGGAAAGTAGAATCCGTTTGCTTAATAACTCATATATGACATCTCTTTCTGCCTTACTTACAAATTATTACCAGAATGACATTTGTCACGGGATAGAATTGTTCCAGACTCTGCGGGAGGAACCAGTCCAATTAGTCTTTCTGTCTGAGCATCTTAATATCGAATCTTTGCTCAAGCAAATCCTAGAGATCTGTGGTTTCCGGAGGATGGCCCAGAGGCCACCAAGGGGTCGTTGCAGAAACAGCGGCCCCATTCACATGCCCATTCCCCAGCTAGCTCCGGGTGGGGGGTGGCACTGTGGCTGCTGACAGTGCTCTCCTTGGAGGCCACCGTCTTCAGCCCCAGATTGCTGCTTCATCGTGGAAAGAAGAGTGATTGAACTTGGATTACCCAGTTGTTCTTCTATGAGGAAAGCTTGGAGAGTCAATGAGTATTGTACATGGGGAATCCAACTTGGCCAGGGCGGTGAGAAAGCAGGTTGTAGGAACCGTGTGTGTGTGTGTGTGTGTGTGTGTGTGTAACATGTACGTGCACGGGTGTTTATGGAGATGTGTTCATGATCACGATTGTATTGTTTGCTTCCCTCCCTCACTCCTTTGCTCTCCCCTCTTTCTCTTTCTTTGTCTTGTCCCCTTCCTCCTCCTTTCACTGTCCTCTAACTGGCGCTGCGTACAATTTCAAAATAATGGAGAAGTCTATTTAGGCTTCAGTCTGCAATATACCAGGGTCCCTTATTCACCTAAGTCCTAAGTCTGGCAGAGTCATCTTTGATCGTTTTCAAAAGACCAAATTAACTATTGATCTCTTCTCTCCAGAACTGATGTCCACCCATGAGCTTGAAAAGAAAGAATTAGAAGAAAATTTTGAAAAGCTGAGGCTGTCATTACAGGTTAGTATTCATTCCCTTAAAGGTGTATTTGTTTTTAAAGTTTATTTGTTTTGAGAGAGAATGTGTGCGTGAATGAGTGGGGGGAGGGACAGAGAGAGAGGGAGAGAGTGAGCGAAAGAGAGAGAGCGAGCGAGCGAATCCCAAGTAGACTCCACGCTATCAGCGCAGAGCCTGACACAGGGCTCAATCGATCTCATGAACTGTGAGATCATGACATGAGCTGAAGTCAAGAGTCAGACCCTTAGCCAACCGGGCCACCCAGGTGCCCCAGTCAGTATTCGTTCTCTTAACTCTGGTATCAAGATAATGGCAGTGTCATCGTGCCTGTACACAGACATTTATCCAGCACCTACTGTGTACTAAGCACTGAGATATAGAAGTAAATGAGTAAATGAGACTTAAGCCCTGCCCTTTGGGAAGTCACTGTCCACTCAGACAGCTGTGACCTAAACAGTGACAGCACAAAAGGTAATGCGTGCTTACGCCCAGTGAATGATGCCATTCATGAGCACCACAGGGGTTCTGAGATGCTGTTCCCCTCTCGTCGTGTCTGACCTGAGCTGTGTCGGAGAAGGGAGGACTTGAGGACAGCATTCTAGGCAGGGGGCTGCGGTCACAGGGCTGTGAAGGATAGATGTCACAGGACATGTTCTGGGAATGATCAAAGGGGCTTCAGTCACCCGGAAGTGGGTGAGATGAAGACAACTTTCTTTGCCTTCCACCGCCAACCTACAGAAAATGTGGCTCTCTGCTACCAGGAGCCGCCTGGCTTCCCTCTGACCTCTGTGGGGAGAAGGAAGGGTCTCCCAGACCATGTGCCTCCCCCTCCTGCCTTCTAGAGACCCAGGCCAGCCCCCGCCCCAGGGCAGGGCTGCCTAGGAAGCAAGGGTGAGGTCAGTGGCCCCGCTTCTCTTCCCAACCATGGCAGCCCCAATCACAACAAGATTCTTTGTTAAATATGAGGAACACTCAAATGGGGAGATTGTGGGAGGTGAGTACCAAAACCGTATCACAAGGCAAGGATTTTGCTTCTTTGATGGGGCACTTTCCCCTGGCAGTGTTCACTGTCCAGAGCTGGCCCACCAAGAAGAGAACCCAGGACTGTGTAAGAGCCAGTGTCAAAACTGTTGAGCGTACTATTCAGAAGTTTTAAAGTGAGACCCTGCCTGTTGCAAGCCCACTCCCAACCCGTCGATCCATCGATGGTCCTGCAGTGTGCCTATGCCGCCCTCACGTGGTTTATCCTCGGCACCTTAACCCCAAACTGCCTCCAGGGACCCCACATCCCCCACCGTCAGCTGCACACCCCCTAGGGCGCACAAACCAGGACCGTACTGTGTTGGAACAAAACCCCCATCCAGTCCAAAACCCAAAGAATTGAGAGTTTTGTTTCATATGTGAGTCTTCATGCTGCCGCTAGCATTAAACTGTTGTGAACTGCACATACTTTAGTGGTGATTCTCCGTGGGCAGATTTCATTTGGGCTGGAGAATATTTGATGTCAATAGGACGGAATTGCTTGAGCCCCCCCCCCCGCCCCCGCTCTTTTTTGGGCTACTGGTGGCTATAGAAACAGGTCTGGGGAAAGAGATTTGAGCTTTGAGTTTAAATCCCCACTGTACCCCTCTTACTAGCTTTGAAATTGTGGACAGTTACGTAAGCTCTGTAACCCTTACTTTCCTCATCTGTAAAATGGGCATGATAACAGTACCTTCCTCAAGGTAGGAGCAGATTAAGGTAAACAATGTAAAGTGTCTAACATGAGGTGGGCTCATGTTAATGCTAAAAAGCATCAGGGGCACCTGGGAGGTTCAGTCAGTTAACCGTCTGACTTTGGCTCAGGTCACAATCTCACAATTTGTGACTTCAAGTCCCGCATCAGGCTCTGTGCTGACAGCTCGGAGCCTGGAGCCTGCTGTGGATTCTGTGTCTCCCTCTCCTGCTTGTGCTCTGTCTCCCTCTGTCTCTTAAAAATAAACGTTAAAAAAGTTTTATTTTTTTTAAGTAGCGGCTACTGCTATTATAATAGTTTCAAGCATTGTTGCATTTACTATTATTATTATGATGCCATTGTTTAACCCCTGAGTGGCCTATGCTGGGCCAGGTCGCCAGCTAGGGCTCTCTGCCTTTTGGCTGGACATAAAGGAGGCAACCCAAGTTGAAAAACAGTCCGTTCTGTCTGATTCTGGTGGCACCATTGTGCACCTGTGGTCTGTTTTGAGTAACGGTGAACAAGGCAGAAAACCATGTCTAACATGCAGTTTGCCATGTTAGATCCATCCTGAGTGGCATTCGCCTGATGCATCTTTCAGTGTTTTGCTTTTTTTAATGGAAGAGGAGAGACTTGAAAGAAATGCTTCCTTGGACAGCGCGGACGGGTGTGGGATAGGAGCCATGTAGCGGTACATTTTTACAGTCATGTTCTAGAAGGTGATTGTAGCCGCACAGTGACTGTGCCCAGACCCAGCTGGGTTGGCCCGGGGCTGTGATCTCCACTCACCAGCTCCTGCACGTACAAACGCCCACTGATCACTATACTGCTCGGATGCACCAGCATTTGCAATTAATGGCACCGTGAGGGCGTTTATTTCTTAAAAACGAAATTGGAAGTAACTGGAAACAAAAAATTAAAAAACGGAAAAAGAGGAAAAGGAAGCTGCCAAAGATGGTTTGTAAAGCAGGTCCTCTGGCAAACTGAAGAAACAGTCAAGCCAGCACTTCATACGTTACAGTATTTTCATGTGGAATTGTATAGCTTACAATATCTAGCTCTTCATATTAGTGGGATGAGCTCACTTCTCTTGCCGGAAGAGTTCCTGGGGAGACCCTGGTTCCTATGATCCAGTGTTACAGAAATGGTGGAGTACCTTGGAATACTCTGCATGAATGGGGCCCCATCTCCCGCTGTGCGGGGAGCCAAGAGAAAGCCCACTTCCCAGCATCCTTTGCTCAGCTGCAGTGACCAGGCATTGCTGGGGTTGCAAGGTTGAGTGCAGTTGCCTGGCTGTCAGGGCAGGAAATGATTCCTCCTCAGACACGCCTCCATCCTCTCCGCCTGTGCACACAGGGCTGCCCCGTAAGCAGTGTGGCGGGGCGGGGGGCGGGGGGGGAGCTCCAGGAGCATTGGTCCAGCCAGGGAGAGGCTCTAAACAGGAGAACAGACTCAGTGCCTGTGGCAGCCTGTGCCAGGGACATGCAACCCAGCCCTGTGGCCCAGGAGGGTCAAGGGGAGGCGAGAAGCGAGCCGAGAAGGAGAGGGAGCTGGCCAGCTGAGGGACTCCTAGCAGGAGAGCTGGAAGGAAGGGCAGGTTGGGGGGTGGGGGTGCAGTGAGAACTGAGCGAGCTGGGAGGCGAGAAAGGCTGATCAGAAGCTACGGGAACATGGTATAGAGTCTGCACTTCGTCTTGATGCCAGTGGAGTTTTACATGGAGGGGGTGATGCATTCAGGTTTTCAGGGGAGCTTAGAAGGCTCCCCGCCCCCCGACTCCAGAATGAGGGCGGAAGCATCCCACCCCAGGCACCATGTCCAGGAAAGAGCCAGCCACGTGGCTAAAGTTCAGGAAGGGGGCGAGGGACCCGGAGAGTTTGTGGACTCCAGGAACATTAGCCGGTGGAACTGGCAGGACTTGAGCGTTGACCCCAAAATGAGTATGTTTGGTGGTAGGAGGGGGTCTCAGGCAGACAGGGAAGTCAAGGATGGTTCAATGGTTTATTGAGGGCAGCTCCTCATTGAGAGGGGTGTCTTGTTCTTTCTAAAGTCAGGGACCAGATGCCTCCCTCTGTTGGTAGTGTGCCTCTATGATATTCAATCATATCATTTAGTCAGATGTTAAATAATAATATATAATCATTAAATAATAAATTCAGAGATTATATCATGAAATGCCTCCCCCCATCAGGCTGCTTCTTAGGGGAGGAAGGGTAGCATCCCCCACTTGGGTGGCTCTCAGAGTCGGCTGCCTGCTCCGAGTTCTCCCCGGGGTGTGGCATGGATACCACTTGACCCCCTCTTTGTAGAGCCTGTGGAACAGGCAATCCAAGCAGCCTCCGACCTTGCCACCCGGCGAAGGGCCAGGGTGGCCATCGCCTGACTGCTGCCAGGGCTGCCGTGTCTGCCATGGACTGAGCTGGTCTCCTTGTCGCCCCTTGTAGGACCAGGTAGACACACTGACCTTCCAGAGCCAGTCTCTGCGGGACCGAGCCAGACGCTTTGAGGAGGCCCTGAGGAAGAACACCGAAGAGCAGCTGGAGGTAGTCATGCCCCCACCTCAGCCTTGCGGCTCCCACAGGGTGCACCCCCCCCCACCGGGGCCACCTCTACAGTCTCCCCCAGTGACAAGACCTCTGTGTTGATCCACTGCTGAAGCCACTGCTGGCTGGGGCACGTCCCCATCAGTGCCTCTCTCCTGACACAGAGGACAGCTGTGGGGTTCTCTGGCAGCATGTTATTTTTGGCAGATTCTACTCCCCAGCCCTGAGCTCCTGTGCTCCACACAGCCTGGGAGCCCTCCCCACTGGGACCCCTCCTCCATCCCCTTGGGGACCCACCCCTGCACCCGCCCTGGGGAGAGTGGAGCTGGGACCCACCCCTTCCCCACCCTGGGGTCCCACCCCTCCACCCCCCTGGGGAGAGTAGAGGTGGGACCCGCCCCTCCACCTCCCTGGAAGCCCCCCTCCACCCCCATGGGGAGAGTAGAGGTGGGACCCATCGTTCTGGGAACCCACCCCTCAACCCCCCTTGGGAGAGTGGAGCCAGGACCTGCCCTCCACTCTACTCCCCCAGGTACCCAATGGCTGTGTTAGGAAGTTGAGGGGAGTTTTTCTCCCAGAAAAGCTGGCAAAATTCCTTCCCTCTGATGGAGGGTTGCCAGATAAAATACAGGATGCCCAGTTTAATTTGAATTATAAGTGAATTTTTTAGCATAAATATATCCCATGTAATACTGACACTTAGAAAAAGAAAGGGGGTTCATCCGGAATTCAGCCTTAACTCAAGGTCCTGTATTTTGTTGTTGTGTTGCTACATCTGGCAGCCTTACTCTAGCATTTTTCTAAAATGCCTTTTCTGCTTTTAAAACCACTTTGCTCACTTCCTACACAAGAATTCCTTCCCGCCCCCACCCCCCACTCTCCGTGGACACAGGGGAGACCTGTGAATCCTGACCTGTCTGTTGAATGAAGTCATCTAGTAGTAGTGTTAGGAGTAGTGTTAAAGCCAATGTTGAATCTACTCTTTTTACTCCATGAGCTCCCTTTGGGGGATGGGCCGGTAGCATCCTCCAGACCCATCAGTGGATGACGGCCTTACCTCTCTCATTCCCCAGGGAGCTGGGTTTCTCGCAGCATTTCCCCGGGGAGAGCCTGGGCATCTGGATCGGGGAAGGCTGGGAGTGTGCTCATGCTCACACTGGGGGGTCTCCTGGGAAGCCTGTTATGGGGGGCGTGACTGAACGGGATGCACACCGGGCTCTGCTCTGCTGAGCAGCTCTTGCTCCTATCGTTGTAGATTGCACTGGCTCCCTATCAGCACTTGGAAGAAGACATGAAGAGTTTGAAGCAGGTATTGGAGATGAAGAACCAGCAAATACACCAGCAGGAAAAGAAGATTATTGAGCTAGAAAAACTGGTGAGTCGGCCTGTGTCCTGGGGAGTGCCCCAGTAACCTGAGGGGTATGTCTTACCGTCATCACCTGTGTCTTAGTTAACGGTATGCAGACGGTGGGCCCTTCCCTGTCCTTTGCTTTCACCCGAGCAGAAATGCCACGGTTAGCCTCCAGGCCTTTCTTAGGAAGCCAGGAGCTTATTTATTCATTTATTTTGAGGGGAGGGTGGGGCAGGGGCAGAGAGAGAAAGGAAGAGAGAACCCAAAGCAGGCTCTGCGCTGATGGCAGTGAGCCCAACTTGGGGCTCAAACTCACAAACCACAGGATCGTAACCTGAGCCGAAGTTGGATGCTCCATGGCCTGAGCCACCCAGGTGCCCCTGGGAAGCCGGGAGTTCTAATAAGGGATCTGAAGCGGCTTCATTTTGTACAATCGGAGAGCCCTCCTGATTGCCCACCTCAGTACCCCATCCGTCCTCTCCCCTCCCTGGGGGAGTGCTGCTCTCTCCCTCCTCCCTGGGGCGATGGGTGGCCAGCCAGCATCAATGGAACATTCCCGATGTGTGCCAGGCACTGCGCACTTTACATATGTTTGTTCTTTAACCCCCACCCCCCACCCCGATAGCAAGGTGCTCTTGGGAGCCTCATTTCCTAGACGCATATGCAGACAGAGACCTAGGAAGAGGGTGTATCTCACTCAGAGCCCATAAGTGGCCGCCCAGGTGGGAGCCCTGACCCCCGGTCCCTGCTCTGCAGCCCTCCTCCTCCCCCTTCAGCCCAGCTCCCATGGAGCTAGCGAAGGGCCCCCCTGGATAACAGAGCACCCCAGAGCTCACCCCGTCCGCTGCAGGCACAAGGGTCATATGACAGCTAGAGCCCGACACCGTCCTCGAGTCACTAGCAGCGTGTGCCTAAGGAGACGGCATCTCGAGGTGGAAGTTGGCCTCACGGTCTCAGATCAATGGTTTTCCTTTTGTATTGTTGTATATTCACAGTGGACTTTGATGCTACAAAGAGAAGACACATGCATTATAAAAAAGTAGAAGATGAACACAAATAAGAAAATTAAAATGTACTTCCAGCCACTGCTAACACCTCCCAGAGTGTTTTTCTCTGCACAGCGTGTGCGCCCCACACACACGCCCACGTTCCTATGCCGCTTCCAGCGAGCAGACCTTTAACTTGCCATCTCGGTGACTGACCATCTCATCTGACCTTGAAAGTTCCCCGTTTGTCTCTGAAATATCCTGAGGCTGGTTTTCCCACACCGGGAGCTGGTCGAGGACTCCGTGTGGTGTTTGGTCACCATGTTCTCTCTATCCAGCACCTCTGCCCCTTGAGACGTCTCTCACTGCTCAGCGTAGGATGGGGGCAGACTGGGGTGTGACTGTCCACAGCCAGCATCCTGGGTAATGGTGACCACGTGGCTCCCCTCCCAGCCCGGCCCACAGAGAGACCCACGGCCCCCCACGTCCAGGCTGGGGCATCCGCATTCAGCTGTCTGGTCACCCGCAAGCTTCAGGGTTTATTTGGCTGTTCCCAGCCATGTTCCAGGCATTCTTCTCCTTCTAGAATCCTTTCAGCATAAAAAAAAAAAAGGACAAATTTAGTCACTTCCCATTTCTTGGGAGCAAAGATGCGGCTGACGGGAAGTGCAGGGCTATAGAGCTACGACAGAGGTCAGCCCTTCGGCTCAGCTCCCAGCCCCGTTCATGGGAGGGGACAGTTTTCTCCCCAGATTCACTAGCCAACAGTGAATTTGTCATTTTCTTTTCAAAAAATAATTTATTTCTAAATTTACCTTAGACTGGTACTGTACTTCCGCAAGGCCCCGGTGGGACACACAGACAGAGAAAAAGGCGTAAATTGCCGGGGAATGATAACCACGGATGATGTTATTTTCTGAGAATGTACCGAGCGGTCTTGGGCTTTGGGTTCCTGGCTGCCGGTACCCTCAGAAGGAAGAACTGTGTGCATGTTATTTATGTTTCCACCCCTCCATTCGTTCCGAACGTCATACTGTGCAAACGCTCCGGTTCAGGGATGCTGATGTAGTGCCGTTGGCCCACCGGGAAGAACCAGGGGGCCCATCAGCCAAAGCAGGGCCTGGTGGTGGTCACAGCTTCTCTCTGACAATAGGGACACTCACCATCAGAGATGTCTTCCACACAGGAACCTGATGTACACGCGCGCGCGCGCACACACACACACACACACACACACAAACACACAAACTGTTCATATCTAAAATATGAGTAACAGTAATACTTTGACTACGTATGGGTTGCACTCTGGTATTTTCTGTTCTGTTTCATTTTGTTTAAAAGAGACACGCTGCTGACGTCCCTCTAACTTGATTTTGTAATCGCTAAGGCAGCGCAAACTGTGGTTTGCAAAGCACCGTTCTTGATGACCCTCCAAAGCCCGGAAGCCTTGCTGAGAACCTCTTAACGCTGCATTTTTTTTAGGCGGAGAAAAACATTATCCTAGAAGAAAAGATCCAGGTTCTCCAGCAGCAGAATGAAGACCTCAAAGCAAGGATTGACCAGAACACCGTGGTCACAAGGTAGAGGGGCCTGGGCATCTGAGCTTAACAAACCATGTGTCACCTACAACGTGCCTTTGCTCTAGAGCTTCTCTGAGGGCTCTGTTCATACCCCTGCATCCAATTTACCTCACTCCCCTAACCTGTGTGGCTTCCCCACCCAGGTTCTTTGCATTTCTTGTGTCAAGAGAACAAATTACGCCACTATGCACACTACCTGGCCTGTGCCCTGGCTCTGCATATTCATTGTCCCCACCTTGGGGGAAATGAGTGAAATTGGCAGAAATCTGCGGCAGGGGTCTCCACACAGTGGAGACATGGAGGGCTGCTTTCTGGGGGTTTTGGAGAGAGTCACCAGCTGAGTGTCCCCAGGCAAAAGAGAAAAGCCACGGAAGCTGACGCCAAGCTGCATTGGCCGAGCGGTACAGATCCATGCGGGGCCCTCAGCTGCCGAGCTGTTCTGGGCTGGCCTGGCCAGCAGACGGCAGGGAGTAACGAAGCTAGAGTGAAGCCGTGTAGCCGAATGCAGCTACTCGGAGTAGTAGCATTCCCAGCTCAGTCCCCTACTCTGAGGAGCTCCAGCTTTCCAGGAAGGATGTGGAATGAAGCAGGGTTTGGGCTCGATCGGCCAACTGGACGTTACAGGCATACCTTAGGGACACTGTAGTTTCCTTTCCAGGCCACCACAAGGAAGCAAGTATCGTAATGAAGCAATCACCTGAATTTTTTCCCAATCAAATGAATGGTTTCTCAATAAATGTAAAAGTGAAGTTTATACTCTCTTCTAGTCTATTAAGTGAAATACCATTGTGTCCAAAAAAAACAATGGACGCACCTTAATGTAAAAATACTGTATTGCTAAAAAAATGCAAACCAGCATCTAACGGTTCAGAGAGCCGTAACCCTGGTGTGGGGGAGGGTCTTGGCACACTGGCTACTGACGGTCAGGGTGGCGGCGCTGGAGGCTGGAGTGACTGTGGCAATTTCTTAAAACGATAAAGTTCGCTACATCACTGGCCTGTTCCTTTCACGAGTGATTGCTCTGTAGCGCGTGACGCTGTGTGAGAGCGTTTCACCCACGGTAGAACTTCTTTCACAACTGGAGTCAGTCCTCTCAGTCCCTTCTGCTGCTTTATCCACTACGTCTGTGTGACATTCCAAATCCCGTGTTGTCATTTCAACCACCTTCATGGCATCTAGATCAGGAGCAGTTTCCGTGTCGAGAAACCACACGGTCCCTGAGCACCTGCCGTGGCCGGACACCAGGGATGCCGGGATTCAAAGGGTGCCTTGTCCAGCAGGCAGGCGGACACGCGGCCGAGCGCTCACAGCATGGGGCGGCAGCTGCTGTCACAGAGACCCAGGCCAGGGACGCGGAGACCAGAGGCGCTGTGCCTGTGCTGCCCTTGTTGAGTGCCACGTCCCTGGGCGGCACACCCACACCGCCCCCGCCCCTCTCCCGTCCTCCTCGGCCTTGGCGTTGGCTCTGCCCACCGGACAGCCAGCGCCTCCCCTGACTGGGCAGAGGGACTGTGAGCCACCTGTGTGTCGGCCTAGAGACTCTGGGAAGAGATGTGTCCGTGGGATGAGTGGAAATCACGTCTCAACGCAAGGTTCTTGGTCCCTGGGGGCCCACTTGTCCCTGTCCCCTCCCCCACGGGCAGCTACAGCCTCCTCGCTTGCCTCGAACCCACCGGCCTGGCGATTCTCCAGGTAAGTGCCTTCCAGCCTGATTGCTACCTGACTGTCTCTTATTCTCCTCCCACAGACAACTGTCGGAGGAAAACGCGAATCTCCAGGAATACGTCGAGAAAGAAACCCAGGAGAAGAAGAGATTGAGCCGCACCAACGAAGAGCTGCTTTGGAAGCTCCAAACCGGGGACCCAACCAGCCCTGTTAAACTCTCCCCCACGTCCCCTGTGTACCGTGGCTCCTCCTCGGGGCCCTCCTCTCCCGCCAGAGTCGGCACGACACCCAGATGACGCGCCACCACCACGCCGCCTGCGGGAGCTGTGACTCCTGCCCGCCCAGGCCTTCTACCTGGAGGGAGTGGTGACCAGGGGGCCGGCCGGGGGTCGCCGGCCCTGCGCGCATGCTCAGTAGCTGCCTAGCTGCATCCTAAGCAAAGTCCTCCTCTGACCCTCATGTAAGACTGCCCTGGTGTTGGCACTTAGGAAAGTGTGACCTGTAGTGTCTGATGTGCAAACGTTTGACCATAGTTAGAGCCGAGAGAAAGAAACTCCAGTTGGTCTTGAGCAATGAACTTTCACTGCAGAATTTCAGGTTAGTTACAAATAGCTCAGTTTTGGATCTACATTGAATAATCATTGTGTACTGCACCGATATGTGTGTATATTTAGATACACGTATATACACATGCAGCAGTCCCGAATTGTGTTTTTTATACCACGAAGTGCTGACATATTTTGGTGAAGGTCAGCAGTTTTCTAACTTGTGCCTAAGAATTATTGGGAAATGAAAATGCATTTCTATCTAGCTTCCCAGGAATATTTCTACCCAAAATAGAAAAAGGAAAAAAAAAAAAAGATACAGAGAAGAAGCGCCTTTCAACCTACCACCAAGTGGTAACTCTATTTAACACAAACACCAGCGATTTGTGAACGGTAACTGCCTTCGGAACAGTCAGCTTCTTAGCATGACGTGAGGTCACTATTATTCCATTCACAAGTTTTAATTGTTAATGCTCCTGTCGTGAGTGGTGAAGGGAGAAGGGTGGGAGACCCCGAGGGCTTTAGCCGTTTCACAGACGACACTCACGACAGTGAATCATCCAGTCTTGTAAACACAGGTTTTGCTTTTTACCCAAGTGGCATCTTGGAATCTGTCATGAAGCTATTGGCCCCTTGGGAAAGTGTGGAAGAGCATGACCTTCTAGAGGGAGGGGGAGGATGACCTTGGAGTTGACCAAGCCCATCCACACTCCATCCTCCGGAAGGGACCCTGCTAATAGGATCTGTATTTCGACTCAGCACAGAGTAAGAGAGTGTCCTCCGACACCCACACAGGCTGCTCTGATGGGACTGTCTAAAGGGCCAACCCACCAAACTACGACCCTCCGGCCCCCATTTCATAGGCCAGCCCCTATCAGTTTGGTTCTGTAACTCACCCCCGTCACTGTGCGTTGAGACTCAGGGGCTCTTGCAAGAGCTTCCAGAAAACCAACTCTTCCCTCCTGGGGGATCAGTTCCAAGCTGTGCTAGCTAGATCACCACATGACCTCCCACGCAGCCAGGTGTGCTTTCTGCCGGACGACCAAGTGGTACCACAGCTGGCAGCGGCCCCTTCTCAGGCCCCAGAGGAGCCCCCCTGACACAGCCAACCCCAGCAGTGCTGGCTCCTGGACTGGCATCTGGGTCGGAAACGGTAGACGTAGACTGTACAAGCTACCCCTGTATGTGCTGTGCAGCATGACACACAAAGAAAGACGTAGTTTTAACGGTTCATATGGTGACGACCATGACGCCTTTGTTTCCAGTTCGTGACAAAGACCCTACGCTTTCTCCCGATGGCCCCTCAAAATCGTCCCGGACACAGGGCTGCCTCTGAGCATGTCCGAGGCGAGCAGACCCATGCAAGGATGCTCCGAGCCGGGAAGAAATGGCCCACAGCAGGGCCTGCCCGGCCCGCACGTGGCCAGGCTGCAGACACGCCTGTGTGCGGCCCTGGCATGAATCCGGGCTTGCTGGCCTCGGGCCCATCTCATTTCTAGCAAACCTCCAAGGGTCTCAGCCCATCCTGGGGACATGCACAATGGACACCCATTGAAGAAACATTTCTTTTTTTCCTTTTAGTGGCTCTGCATGACGTTATGATACTGAGTTGGGCATCCCGTTAGAGTAGATCATGCCGCGTTGACTGAACACACAATTACTTATTCTGTTAGCAGGCATCACCTGCAGAGAATCACTCGGCAGCCTCCCGGCCCTGCCCGTCAGGAGCAGCTTCCTTCACGACACCTGCTGAATGCAGTCACACAGCAATACACATTTCAGTGTTCCGTTAGAATGTGCGACAGTGTGGTAGCCTACTGAGAAGTTGTAGTGACATTAGAGCTCCGTAATCCCTCACTAGGTGGACCAGAGCTTTGCCCTGACCAGCCCTGACCTCGGGTCCTTGAGCGAATTCCCGCATTGCTCTGGCTTCGCTCCTTCGTCATGGACACCCGTCACGTGTTGCTCGTATCCTGAAATGTGGGGGTCGGCAGCCACGATGCTCCCTCCTCACCCCCCTCCCCACCGTTAGGACTTGGACCTCCGTCGACCTGAAAGTCTCCCTGGCATCTGCATACAGATGCTGCAGCCTCCCCACCCACCTCCGACCCACCAAACCTCACCAGCCTCTTCACCTGGTGTTTGGGAGACATGTCCGTGCCCTCGCACCCACCCCTGCCCACCACAAGCTGGACAAGGTTGGGGGGGGCATCAGGGAAGGGGAGGGGGCTGACGGGCTGGCACACTTGGTGATTATTTGACTGGGGCCACACATGATTTATCTGGCCCCTGCAGTTTCTGTGTTGCATATTTGTGTTTGAAGCATATTAAAATTACCTTGAGGGACCTTCTGTGATATGCACTTGATGTAACCACTAGCCCGCTCAGGCTTCAGGAAACCCAGGCTGGGGGTCCGAGGCAGAGACCTGTTTTGCAGCCTGGGTTCCTTTTCTGCGTGTGCCAGGGTCCGCTGATCGTCACCGGGAGCCCTTCTCCCCAGGCGCAGCAGGTCCAGGGGCCCCGTAGCAGCCTTCCCGCCCAGATCTCCAGCAGCCCTGCCCTGGGCTTTAGAGCTCGGAGGCTCTGCTCAGGAAGGCCGTCTTCAGTAGCCTGGGATAGGCTGGAGTGGGTTGGAAAAGGGACACAAAAGACTGAATACAGTCCCCTCACCACTGATTTCAAATTCAGACTGAGACAGGTGCATGTGTCCACCCGTTGAGAGCTTGACATGTCCTAAATCCCATCCAGTTTTATCTAGATCATCACAGACGTTTCTCTTGAGTGGCAATGTCCACTTCCTTATCCTGAGCAATTCCTTATCCTGAGCTTTTGGCCCCAGGGCAGGACCCAGGACCCAGGAAAGTTCTGTAGCTCTCCCCGTAAACCTCCCCCCCCGCCCCGCCCCAGGGCAGCCAGGACACTCCCATTTCATCCTGAGCGCGCTTGCCCCCAACCCCTCCCCCACTGGCCTCAGGTTGGCCAGCCTGACCCTGGAGTGTCCACAGGGACCTGCCCCTTCTTGGGGCCAGAAGGGGGACCCCCAGGGTGGCCAGCTCCCCACGGTGGTTTTGGAGGGCATACGGCAGTGTTAGCTATTTGGAGAGACCTCAAGGCTGCCCTCCTGAACAGGCGCTGAACACAAGACTTCTTGCAGGTGATAAATCACCTCAAGTCACTCAGAGACCTGAGCGGGACACCACAGACCCCCTCGGGAATCACCCATGCTTCCGGACTCTTGATGGCAACTACGTATTTATTACTGATTCACTTGTCAACCTGTCCTGACCTGTTAGTTTCTTTCGGGGTGCCTTGTGTCCTCCCTTTTATAATAACCACTTCCCAGTGTCCTTGCCCTTACATGCGAGGTAAACAAGGCACATGTCAGCACCTCCACGTAACAGCAGAGGGAACTGGCGACTCGGCCCCTGGCACGTGTAGGAGAGGTTAGTGCTGGCTTCCTCCTGTCTGCAGGGAACTCCACCACCTCCCTCAGGTAATTTGCAGCAGGCAGAGACCTTTCAAGTGATCCCTCCGTCACCTGTGTGCCAAGGGCCCTTATACAGCCTCCTGCCGTTGCATGGGAGACGCGGGTCATCTCCCGGAGAAGGGAGTGAGGGAAGCGTTCAAGTTGGGGAGAAACCTCAAAGCTGAGTACTTCCCACCTGCTGTTGGAGCCGAATGCTGTTCTCAGGGCTGGTGCCGCATGGTGCAGCATCAGTGCCCGGCCACCAGGCAATGACTCAAGGACCACAGCCGGTCATTGCATCTGTGAGCATCAGGAGTCAGAGTCCCGTCCTCTGGAGACTTTGGGTCCAACATTAAAAAAAAAAAAAATCAGAAGGGCTGGTAGGTTGTCCCGGTTGTTAAGACAAAGGGAGTTAATTCACTTAGGTTTGCTAAACCGCTTATTTAGAAGCCATGTTGCCTCTCTTAAACTTCTTGCGGCAAAAACAAGAACAGCTGGGGTTTCTGAACACCAAGGTCAATTCTTCCCGCTCAGCATGGAGGGAAGATGCGCTCAGAAGGTGCAGGTGCGTTTTGCCTCACTCACCACGTGTGCAAGTTTCGCCGGTGCGGGCACCGAGGGGGATGGGATGGTGCGCAGCTCTAAGCGGGGACCACCGTGCTGCACGTGACCGAGGGCCCCGCAGGCTGCGGGCTGGCGAGGGGTTCTGGAGGATTCCTGGTGCTGCCGCGCCCAGCTGTTTGGAGGCTGCTTCTGATTCACCGGAAGTGCGTCCTAACCAGACCGCGCGAGGGATTACTGGCTCCAGGTGGCTCCCCCTCCGGCCTCCCCGGACGGGAATCCCGAGCGGGCCCAGGGCTTTCTGAGAAATGACTGCCACCTGGTTGGGGACTCCTCGGGCCGCTCGCCCGGCGCCGTGTAGGCCGCTAGGTGGCGCCGAGGGAACGGGGTCCGCCTAGCGCTCCCAGAGGCGAGGCGACTGACGGAGCGGGAGGGGACCTGCCCACGTGGCGTTCCCCGCGTGCGCGGCCCCGGGTCACTCCTGCGCTGGGCTCACCGGCCAACTGCAGAGCCTTTAACGGAGGGACCGCTCTCCGGGAGTCTCGTGGGGGATGACAAAGGGGACTGCCGCCTGCCCCTACGCGGGGCGTCCAAGCTCTGCGGCCTGGTGCGGGGTGTGGCGGACGACACGAGATGGTCCGATGGTCCGAGTTTCACAGCAGCCAAGATACTCCTGGGAAACCAGCAGCGGCTGCCTTGCCCTTGACTCCTAGGGCCCAGGGTGTCCGCTGAGAAAATGCCAAGGCTGGGCCGTGTCTTCCCCGGGCAGCACACCTCCCAGCATCGTGGTGTCTGAGAGCTACGGCCCCTGGACTGAATCTGTCTCCTGGGCAAGAAAGTGCTTCCTTCCGCAGCGGGGGAGTGGGGGACAAAGGGGCAATTACTGGGCCAGCTATAACCCTCCCCCAGCCCCTCCTCCCTGACAGACGCGGGGGGGAGAGGGAGGTGCAGGGCTAAGGTGCGCTGGTGCAAGGCAGCTTGGCCACACTGGCGCCCAAGTGCTTTGGCTGATGAGCAGCTTTATGCCCATGGCCGGCGGAAACCTCGGTGGGAAGACTTCCCCGCCCAAGTAAGCCAAGTCTGGAAAGAGTGGGTGGTGGGGAGATAGCCACAGAGGATCCTAAATGAGGGCTCTGGGGTTCCCTGGTTGAGGTGCTAGTCCTCGGAATGAGGCTTTCCACCATGGCTGAAGGAAAATGGGGCATTACGACATCCGGCTATAGGGGAACAGGAGAATACTATACAAGCAAAAGGCTTCTAGAACTCTCCGTGGGGCACTGCCAAGCTTGACAACCCCACCAGAGGCAGCCATGATTCTGGAGGACACTCTGTGCACGCTGAAGCCATAGACAGAATTTATTAGAGTTAGCGGAAGCATGAGATAATGTACCACAAAATAGTTTGATTTTACAACATATAGTAGGAGGTTGTGGACATATAGTATTGTCAGCAAAAATGGGATACAGAGTTTCACATTTTCTTAAAGGTGATGATGCGTGACCTCTACGCTTGTCCTTAAAAACAGGAGGGCCAGCAGAGACAGCCTGCTTTGCAGTTGTGTGTCAGAATCTAAATCTAGTTATCACAATTGTAAGAAACTATAAGAAAACTATTAGAAAAATAGATCAAACAAGCAAAAAATATTATACAATTTACATAATAAGAAACACAATTCTTTTAATAACGGCTCCACGGTCAATAAAAGAAAAGTTTTCTGGAGAAACCACAGCTCTTCAGGTTTGGTGACAAACCAGCCCTCACCCAGATCATCACCCACTGTGCTGCTTACACCCACCGACGCTGAAAGGCACAACTTAAGCAGGAAACATATTTTAAATACATATATTACAACTCCTCAAAAAGGAAAATAAGTCCCAAACTTAAAAAAAGTTTGTCATGAAGAAACACAAAATCATATACCTTGTTAATGACTTAACAAAGTCCAAGCGCATCTTCCTGACCCTGTGGGACATCCTCATACCCTGAGAAATTCAATTTGGACTTCACAGCCAAGGTCTTTATTTCATGGGGGTTTTTCAGCTGGCAGTTCAACACACTTACAGGGTGATCCAGGAGGGTTCCTTGAGAACTGTGCCCTGAGACCGTTGGCTGGTCCACATCCCTCTTGAAAGAGAAGCAATAGGCACATAAAGACTCTGGATCATAGTGATGAATATAGTATCAAAGTCAGTTGGCTTTTTTTTTTTTTTTTTTGCCTTAAAAACCCATTAGGCATCATAACTCTGGTGATGAAATACGGAGTGTAGCCTCTTGCACCACTGGATCAATAAAGCATTTCATTACCAAAAAAAGTCCACGAGAGTCAAAATGTCTCTCTCACTCTCCCTAAGGAGCCTTACTTACAATACTTTCATGATGATGGCAAACATGTATCTTAAATTATGCATAACAATTATACGTAACATATATTGAGTTCCATCTGCTGGTAAGTTTGTAACAGTTCTGCGCACAAGCACACAAGCGTCGCACACCTATGCCCGGCAGTGCGGGCATGCCTGGAAACTTCACCTGTGCTCGAGCGCCTCGGTGATGGGGGCCTGGCACGGCGATCCCTCGCTCCCGTCTTTACGGAGATGGCTCTGGGGAGCCGACACAGCCATCAGCTCGTACTAGAGGTGTAAAAGCGGGACACGTGAACCCGAAAGATGGGTCCTGGAGCAGAGCCAACAGGTCTTCGCCCGTGGTGAGGCCCCTGAAATGCCCACGAGCCCACCTATGGTCTGGGTGGGGCCTTCATGAGGCCCGCCCACCCTCACCCACGGGGCCCAGCCTCTGCCCCTGTGCTGTGCTGGTGTTAGGCCAGCGGCCATTCTGTGCAGACTGCAAAGCTCAGTCACTTCAAAACGGCCACCCAGTGGCTGGGACAGAGGGGTCGGGAGAGAGTAGAGCCCAGGTCACATCCACAGCCACGTGGGAATCCCCGCGAACAAGGGCCAGGCACCTCCTCCAGGTGTGCACACAGGCTACACCAAAGGTGTGTAAGGGGGTGCAGCAGGGCCTCTGGAACTCAGAAGGGTGAGGCCCCCCCAGGTGGTGCGGTCACCTGTGGACACGTGGCAGCAGGAAGCCTGTGACACCTGGACCACAGCACCAGCACCCGGGACCAGGAGGCTCATCTCCTGACAGTGGAACAAGCCCACGAGTCAGGAAGCCGAGGGGCTCTGACAACAGTATCAATTTAGCAGTGGTTCCCAAACAGCCCGGGAAGACGGCCCCGTCACTCCCTGCTACTGGCTTGGGAACACAAACGGGACCCAAAGTTGGGCTGAGGGGGTGAGTGGTGGGGTGGGCTGAGGAGTGTGCAGAGGCCCACTCTCTGGCTGAAGGTCCTCCTCCTGGATGGGGGCTCAGCCCCACCCACCCACGGAGCCCGCCTGCCTCCCTGGTGGGCCTCCGCGCCCCTCAGTCCTCAGCAGAGGTCTGGGGGCTCCAGCGTTCGCTTCTTTGTGAGCCTTCACGGGGTCACAAAAACCTGCAGGGCGGGGGACTATGGGAGGCAGGAAGGGGTGCTTACTCAACACAAATGGGTCTTTCCAATGTGGGTATTTGGGGCTGGGCCACAGATAAAAGCAGACACAACATCCCCGAAGGGCATCTCTAGAAGTATGGAATTTCTGATGATGTAGGGAAATAGTGGCCAGGCCGTGAAACAGAATCAGTCTTGCTTGGGGGCAGGGGACAGGGGGGAACCCAACTGTCGGGCACTTGTGGTGATTTCTTGCCTGTGTGTGTGTGTATTTGGGGGGAAGCAATGAACGCTGACATAGGAAAAAGCCCGTCCACACTGGGGAGGCTTACCCTCAACAGTGCTCCTTGCATCAGCATCCTCAATGCACAGAGGAGGAAAACCCTGGCCGCCGCCCAAAAACTGAAAGCACGGTGACCACATGAACTAATTATCCCTGTCACCCCCAGGCATCCTGTCCTAAGTGGGAGGCTCCTGGCCCCGGATGGGAGGCAGTGGGTGGGGGCTTCTCACTAGTGAGCCGTCAAGCCTTCCTGATGAGCCTCCTGGCCGCGGGCTGAGGAAGGCCCCATGCCAGCAGGCCCTCACCCCGCGGCTCACTGTCTGTTATCAGGCACATACACCTTGTCGGTTGGTAGAATGACACATGTCGCCGGCTGAAATGTCACCTAAACACACAGTCTGTTGTGTGCTGTCTGGCACAGAAATTTCAGTCAGAAAGAGCAATTAAAGCCAAGAACAAATTTTTTCTTTCCCCTCCACCTTTCTTGGACACTCTCTTTCCTTCAAGTTCTCTTTGCCTATAGGGAAAAATAACAGACGAATCAAGCAAACAAAGAGCTAACGAACCCTAAAAGACAGCAAGACAACCAAAACCCCAACAAAATAAGTTAATATTTATCAAAATATTGTACAGCACCAATCTACATAAATTTAAATATCTTTCTTTGGAAACCCATACTTTGGGCTCTTACACTCCTCCCTCTGTAACATTCACAAATGACAATTTAGAATAAAGCTTCCAGCAAGGCGATCAGGGCCGGGCACCGGCCAGCCCTCCGACCGACCCTGCCATTTGGCCATTTCATGAATCCTTGCAATTCTCGCCAAGAACCCACCGAGGGAGATCAGCCAAGTGCCATCAACTTATCAGGCTTCGTTCTGCCATATTTGTGTCAAAGGCCAGAAGGGGGGAAGAAATGGGAGCCTGGGCTTCAAAAGCAGCATTTACATTTTCTGGGGTATCCACATGCCCGTGTTCCTCACCTCCCATCGACATGGGGCCCTTCTGTGTCCTGAGCCACACTCTAATTAGAAGGAAGATCTGATCAGCGTTCGTCAACTCAGGCGCCTATCGGCAAGGAGTGTGTGAGCCGTGGAGCGCTCCAGTGCACGGGAGGGAGCACGCTGTGTTCAGGGGCCAGCACCGGCTCTCCGCCTTACAAACTGTGGAGGTGGGAGGTCTGGGGCAGGGCTGCAAACCCACATACAAACCTGCAGCATTTGGACAGGATACACGACAGGGACAGCAACATGACCCCAGAGTCTCAGGTGTGGACCCCACACGGAGTAAATATTTGGCCACTTTCCAAGTTAATACTAAGTGCCAACTTAATGTGGAGGGATTCACAGATGCTAACGGGAGGCCTCGGTTTGATTATGTAGAAGAGAGGGGCCGGAAGCAGCTGGCAGGAGCGGACACCTGCCTTGAGAACCTTGCAAGACTCCAGAAGCGGACCCACACGCATCGGAGGGTGGGACTTAGCGAAGACCCACAGGACACAGGGTTCTAAGCTCTGCTAAGCTAAGGCCAGTCCTATGTAAACGCGGTGTCACATCCCAGTTACTCGGGACACACCGCTGATGGCGCTAGATACCGGAAGCAGCAAGAAGTGCCCAGGCCCGGAGAGAGGATGGCTGGAGGAGGCCCCAGGCGTGTGGGGCAGGGCCAGCCATCCCTCGGTCCTCCAGCCTGGGTCCCGCGGTGGCGCTCCCTTCTGGTGGGCGACGGAGACACCCACCCTCGGTACCACCACTGCAGTGGGCCAGGTTCTGTCAGCGGTCGGGGCAGAGTCCCTGCCTGGAAAGGAGAGTGGGGGAGGACTCCCATTTCCAAGGACCCCTTCTGGAAGCAGAGAGGACAGGACTGGGCGAAGGAACCCAGGCTTGCTTTTCCTTTTTAAGTGAACGGCTGTCCTGTGGCTCTGGGGGCAGAACTGCTGAGGACACGCCGTTTGGGTTACTCATCTGGCGTGTACGCCGGGCTTCGGGGTCGAGCAGGGAGATGGGTGCTGACAGTTGGGAGTATGCACATGTTCGATACCAGGATGGTCCTCGGGAGGGAGGCCTGGGCTCCCCGGGGGAATAAGCAAAGGTGTCCGCCATTTTGCTCGCAGCGGCGCGGGCACGGGGCTGGCGAGGGCGAGGGCGGCTTTCTTTGCTCAGAGGGATGTGAGGAGACGCAGTGGAAGCCACAGCCGAGTGGCCCCGGCTGGGAGCTGTCAGAGGTGACCGGGACCCGGGGCGCCTGCCGCAGAGCCAGTCTGGGTGAGACACACGAGCTGTGGGCCGAGGCTGCATTTCAAGTAGTTGCACCTTCTGCTGCGTTGGGGCTTTGTGGATGTGGGGGGTCCTGATGCGTCGGTGGAGAGAGCGAGGTGCTCCCGGGGCCGCTGCGGGCATCCCTCAGGGCTGCTGCCACCTCTCGGAGCGGGGCTGCTCGTCACTTGCAATGGTCCAAATTGCTGTCAGGAGTCCTTGCCTGGTCAGCGGCCAGGGACGCCTCCTCACTGTGCCACAGACCGTAGCCGAAGTAGATGATGAAGCCTGTGGGCGAGAGCGGAGACCGTGTGCACAGGGCAGTGGGCAGGGCCGCCCTGGGGGAGTCCCATGGCCCCACGGGGCGGCCTCTCCGTGCCACCTGCCCCAGGCTTGCACCCATAGCAAGCGGCCCTCGTGGGCCAACTTTGTGTGTCTGGAGAAACACAGGACCCTTCCACTACCATCAGCCATGGTTCCCGTCAGCAAATAGTTCCCGTCTCGCCTCTACCTGCGGCAGAGAAACACTCCAGGGGCAGCCTCACACCAGGGCGGCTCCTGAGCAGGGGAGAAGCTGGGTGGGGGTTCCCAGAGGGGTGCTGGTCCCTCAGCTTCGTCCATGGCCACCTAGTTGGTGCCCTGTGGCCACTGGAGGGGACAGGACAGAGTCTCCAGCAGTCATACCGTTTCCCGCAAGGGCGGGACTTCTGACGGGCACCGGGGCCCCCAAAGGCTTTTCGTGTGGCTGCCACGGCCCCAACCGCCTCTGGTTTCTCAGTCCGTTCCAGTGTCGGGGACTCCAAAGCTCTGCGGTGGGGCCCAGAGATCTGAGCTTCTAACTACCCACCCAAGGACTGTGGCCCATGTGGCCCCGAGGCCACCTGTGTGCCAGAGACACAAGAAGAGCAGGCCGTAAAGGAAGGGCTCAGCCACCAAAAGCCCTGGAAAGAAGCTAGTGGCTTGGTGCACCTCCCAGGAGCTCACGTTTGGGGCGCGGGAACGAGCCGCTCACCCAGAGTCCAGAGGAAGGTGCACCGAGCACACAGCACCGCACAAACCGTGCCCATTCTCACAGAACGGCTCTCTGGGGGCCGTCTGTCTAAGCAGCCTCAGGCTACACTCTGCACATCACAGGGGGGGGCGGTCCGCAGAGCACAACTGTGAGGCGGCAGCGGTCTGCCCCTACGTGTGCTGGCCCACGGCTGAGGGTTTGGCAGAAGCACAGGCCTGGAGTCACCGTCCTTGGCAGGGACACTGAGGGGCAAGGGGCGAGGCCCACTCCCCCGACGTCAGCGCTGAGGATGGATTCTGAGTCCATCTCCCGTAGTCCCTGGTGCTGGACACTCGGGGACGGGGTGGGCCACAGTCAGTCCACAACAGGGCCAGCAACCAAAAGGTGACCCCAAGCTTCCCGCACACCCCACCAACAGGCGCAGCCCACATGGGCCAGTGGGCAGGTAGTGGCTGGGCGGGGCAGGCGCAGTCCAGGCTTTCTCGGGTCAGGGAAATGAATCGGCACTTTGTCAACAGCAGACCCGTAGCCTCGCTCTCTCAGCTCTCGCACAATGACGAGGCTGGCTCAGGCAAGAGTTATTAAAATGAAAAGTATCTAAAAGGGAGGGGAGGACCCACAACCTACTAGGGGCTCCTTACTGAGAGAAAACCGCTGGCAGCATGTGTTTTCGCTGTTTTGAAATCTGAAGCGGGAAGCTCAGTGACAAGAGGAACCCAGGCAAGTTACAGGGAAGACGATGGAGCAGCACAGCATCGGCTCTGGGGACTGGGGGACCGGGGGCGGGGGGGGGTGCCGAGACATGCTGTGACAGTGAAATCCAGGCTCTCACCTACCTATTAGCATCCACACTGCGAACCGGACCCACGTGCCTTGGTCCAGCTGCATCATGAGATAGACATTCACGAAGATGCTCAGGACGGGAAGCACCGGCAAGAAGGGCACCTGCAAAGACACCAGGCAACACTGTCATCTCTGCAGGGAGAGGAGCGTGTGGGGACGGTGCCCCTGCAGGCATGTAGCAAAACTACCTAGGAAAAGACAGTGTCCCCGAGTCAGAGGGACTGCGCTATTTATATGGGGAGGGGAAGCGAGCGCTCCCCAACCCACGTGCATCTGCACAGACATGCCCACACACGGGCAGAGGGGGTGGGAGTTTGGTTGGCACTAAGTGCCAAGGTGAGCTCTGTTCTAATTTTCCCCTCTTCCTATTCTCCTGCTAAAGAAAGGGCTAGAAGAGGGACTTCCACATTTCTCCAACAGTGGACTGCTTTATTATTTGTGTCACCTTCAAGGCTTGGCAATGTGATGCCATCCAGCCAGAAGGACGTGTATGAAAGGCCCTGTGGGGAGGAGTGCTGTGACATCTGAGGACCAGGGCAGGGCCAAGTGCCTTCTTCCAGGACCGCCCCCGCCCGCCCCAGCAGGTACCAGCTGCGTCTCATGTTCTCCGAGGCTGGCCGGCAAGCCCCTCCCTCCAGTGACCCTGGCCTGGCAGAGCCCACACGGGGCACAGGAGTGCGGCAGTCTGTGGCACCCACACAGGAGGCTCCCTATGGGTCCCCTAGACAGAGCTGCTCACCTTAAAGGAGAGCTTGGTCTTGCTCTCAGGCTGCCTCCAGATGATGACCGTCACCAGTGAGCACAGAAGGGCAGATATGGTGAGCATAAAGATGGCCCACAAGTCACCTTTTGTCAGTGCCTCCTTTCCAAGCACAGCCACAAGGCAGAAGGTGAGGATCAGAATTGCTATGGGAGAGAGAGAGAGGTGCAATTCAATCTTGTTTAAAATCCCCAGATACCCTGTTTTCCCAACACCTATGGAGAAGGAGGCTATACTTCGGCACCATTAACTACCGCGAGGGCAGAATGACGGACCTCACGGTCCAGCAGTAGGACACAGGCTTATCCCTTCCAGCCCCGCCTCCACCACCAGCGACGAGAAACCATACAATGCCAATGAGCAAGACCCCAAACACCTTAAAGAGAAGGGCAGGCTCTTACCTATGAGGCTGGTTGAAATGTTCACAATTAGCCCGGAGGATTTGGAAGGCTCCGCATTTCTGGGTGAAAGTATGGTTTTCAAAGAAAATCTCTCTGCTTCTGGTAAAAAGCCTGTCTGGGAATCACTGGTGCTCACCAATTCATTCTGGTCCACTTGATCTAGTTCATCGGTGGTTCTGGCCATCTGGTATACCATGTTAGGTTGCTCTGGCTGATAGCTGTCAAGAAATATAGTGCATGACCACCATAGTGTGCTTTAAATGGGCAAGAGGACACATACCAACTCGAGTTCTTAGCAAGCTTCAAAGGTAAGCTGCCCAGGACACAAAGCATAAATGGGAAGAACACGGACAGAATGTTGCATTCTCCAGCAAAGCAGATACAGAGGAGGGGACCTGAGTCCGCGTTCTCTGTTCCCACTTCTTGGCAACACCCTCCTTGGTGTCTCTGATTTGAGGCACTTTGACCTTCCCCATGAACCAGCCCAGAGGAATGTCCTGACATGGTTTCTCCTGCTCTGAGAAGTAGCACCGGCCCTTGGATGCTTAAGATATTAGGCCACTTCCAACAGAACCATGGCTGAAGGGAGCCGGAAGTACACACGGAAATAGAAAGCAGTAATGTTAGGATCCTATTTGGTCCAGAGAGCCAGAGAAATGTGTCTGCAGGCTGACAGGTTTGAGAAATTCTGTTTGTGAGATTTAATTGGATCAATTTATTTTAAAACTCCAAATGCCTTAGAACAAATAACTTGATGGAGCTGGCTAAAGGACTGAGCCTGTGGCCTGACTTCCAAGACACAAGCTTCCTGCAAGTAAAGCATTCGTTTAAAATGAGGCTCCTTATCTTCCACCCAAAATGAACAGAGCTCAAATCATTCCTACCAGCTATGAAAAACAGAGTGCTTTCTGAATTATTTTGCATCTAATCTAAGAGTGAGCATAAAGATACTTAACCAGTTTTTCGCAGACTCACTTATGTTAATACCAGTCTATTAAGAATGTGAGGGCACCTCGGAAAAGGTGCCAGTGTTGAGCCCTTAGGAAGGAATAAGTGGTCAGAAAACTAGCCAACTAGTTTTAGCTGATTCTACACAGCCGCTACGGAGGCTCAACTCAAGTCTGACATACATTAGATGCTAAGCACATTAGAAATGGAATTCACGATCTTGCAAGTATTCTAGGTGACCACCAGCGATAGTCTCCATGACTGTGTATTCCCATGGTAAAGGCTCCCTTGAGCCACTCCTGGGGGTGAGGAAGTAGAGCCCGGTCCTTCCAGAACAAGGAAAACTGGGGCCCAGGGGTGTGCTCTGGGAGGCCCACTGGGACAGCTGGGAACGGGACACCACGCCTAGGCCCTGTGCTGCTTTATCATGGCCATCCGTGGGGCCGGTCGGGAAGACACAAGGCTAAAACAGCAAGAACGTGGGAAGTCACTGATCACCAACCTTGGCCACTCCATCCATCTACAGCGGCTCCTTCCTCCAGTGGCAGGACTGCTGCTCAGAAGCACCACGCTGAGCTCAGCTTCACACAGCTTGGGTCCCCCAGTCCCCACCAAGACTAGTTCCCAGTGCCCTCCAAACTAAGAACCTGGACCAAACTGAAACCATTACCCTATGCCTTCAAAATCTCTGCTCCCTGGATCCAGGCCCAAGAGCTGGGCTGAGAACCTGTCTACCCTCCCGATATCTCACCAGAAAAACGAGGGTGCATGATAGTGAGAGGCGGGCCCCCTGACTCTTTCTTTCCAAAGATGTTCTCTGTAACTAGGCTCTCAACCACCAAACCCCACCCTCTCCAGGAGAGTTCCCAAAGATCAGTTCCCAAAATTAACAACCTAAAATTTACACTGAATAAACCAATAACCTGATCTCTGAAAAGGCTAACAGGGTGCACCTTTCTACCACAGAACCCAGAAGAGCCATACATACCGTAAGACCAACACGCAGGCAGCCACCAAAGAGTAAGCCAGGAGAGTGCCGATTGACATGAGGTCTACCAGGTCCTTCAGGTCAAAGACAAAGGCCATCACAGCTGGGGAGAAACAATCATCAGGATCCATGGATGGCCCTCCACACATTTACAGCCAGAACACCACCCACCCGTGATCCAGGGCACACAGGGGATGTTCCTTTTACTTGCTTCCTCACCCCAGCCCCTTCCATGCAAAGACACTGTAATATTGATTAAAAGAAGAAAAGATGAGGATTCAATCACATACACAGTCCCCAGAAGACAGTAATATAGAGAGTACTTTCATCAACATAACCTTTATTGATCCTTATGGCAACTCTGCAAGCTGTCCCTACAGTACACATGGAGAAACTGAAGTCAAATATGTTAGGACACTTATCTAAGGTCACATAGCCAGGAAGTGGAAAACTCAGGATCTCAACTAGGTTCTTGTGGCTCTGAGTCCAGTGTGTCTTTCTTTATACCAAGCAGACTCACAGACAGTCAGGTATACCTATCCATCTACCTACACACCATCCATCCATCCATCCATCCATCCATCCATCCATCCATCCATCCTCTGTCCATCAATCACCCATCATCTATCCATTTATCCAGCCATCCAACTATTTACCCATCATCCAGCCATCCATTCATCCATCCAGCACTCACTAAGGGTATGTCAGTCAATGAACATTAGATGTACACCATCAAACAGGGCAGACCAGACAGTCTCTGGCTTCCCTGAGTGTATCATCTAAGACTTAGGCATCAATAGGCAACAGTGATGAGCAGGTGCAAGTCCAGTGCTCTGGGAGGTCTCACAGGGGCTCCTGACCCAGACAGGTGAACATGAAAAGCAGTGTTATTTCCAAACCGTATCCTTAGCTTTACCATGACCCCACTTAAAAAAATATACAACATACATGCTTATTTGAAAATATTTTGTAATTTTTATGAGTATATATCTCTATTGATGTGGGTATACATGTAAAGCTCCCCATTTAAAAAATAACTTGAATAGATCTACTTTGGGATATTTTCAAATATACAGGCAAACAATACGATATTAAAGCATAAACACAAGACCATGACTTTTCCACAAATCCTTCCCAAGCCCCTGTAGATCACTCCAACTAAAACAAATTTAAATGGAGGATAAATAACAGGATCAAAGAGCAATGCTGGGCCTTCTGGATCATTAGAAGAGCATCCAACCGTGCATGCCTCAGATGCCAACATTCCCACTCACACAGAAACTTAAGCCATACTTTTCCATGTGGGGTGATTTTAGAAAACCAAATACTTATTTACCACTCCCACCAAATGAGAAGAAGGAGTAAATCCCTGGTCTGGTGAATGCATGTCCTTTATAGTCGCTTTAAAGATTATAATTTCATCTCCCTTGATCAGCAAGGAAGGAAATTAAAGGCCAGGTTTTAGTATGATCAAATTACATGTAAATACTGAAAGAACACTTACTATTTCCAATTCCTTAATCTCTTAAATATACTGGTCATATTCTGACATATGGTGTCCCTTAACTGACCGCTGAGGTCACTGTCAAGACTGTACAATTACACAACAAATTTGTTAAGTAATGAAAAACCAGCTTTCTTTCATTAGATGACATTAATCCACACAACTAAGCACACTTTGCTAAGGGCATAAACACTACTAACAACAATTCATTCATGTAAGAGGATCCAACTGCCTTACCAATGGCTATTCAGCAAGTATAGACTGTGGTATAGACTGAACTCGTACCACGTGTCCTACTATATCGCAAAGACCTACTGCGCCGCTCACACCCTGGAAGGGAGCCAGCCACTTTGGCATAAAAACAAACCAGGAACCAAGAGTCAGACCTACTGGGTGTAGGTGAACCTCCTCACGTCACAGCTCTGTGCCATGGAATACTGACTGCCTTGTGTGGCTAGGAGGGGCCATTATTAAAGGAGAAAACAGAGAAAACCAACAGCATAGCATATATGCACATAATTTCCTTGGAGGTTCCCCTTTTCTTAATCGGGGGCCCCTGGAATATCACGTCACCCAAGGGTTCTTTGTGCACTGATTTCAGCTGTCTACGCTGTCTTCTCGGTGAGGAACCTGTTATTTGATAAGATAAACCTCCGCTGAGCCTGCCATTATTTATAAACTCACACAGCAGCTGGCACCAGCAACACCCTCAATATCTCCTGGAAAACAGGAGCACATTTCATAAGACCCTGACACGAAGGGACTCTCGTTTCCCCGAGAATTCCAGGCTAAGATACACAGACAATGAATTTCCAGTACGAACAAAAAGTCACTTGTTTTATACCACGCAAGGAGATGTTGTCCTACCGTCTACTCAGGGACATTCAGAAAAGGGGAAATGCAAATGGCTCTGAGGACACAGCATATGTGTTCCGAGCTCTGACAAGGAGGGCAATAATAATAATAAAATAATTCAACTTGTCGAGAAGTCCATCACACCCTCTGTAAAACTGGCCTCCCCCCACCCCTGTAGTCAAAAGGGCAGTTACCTGGCAGTAATCCAGGTTCCAAGGGTGAAAACCAAACGTTAAAAAGGCCAGTTTCAACTTCTCACAGACGGATACAATTCAAGATACTTCCCTAAGGACTCAACGGTTAAACATACTGGCATGTGGAATCCTTACCGGCAATGGCACCTGAGGTCACCGTGGCGATTATTGGTGTTTTGGTCCTATCGTTGATTTTGGCCAAAAATTTGAACAGCAGCCCGTCTTCAGCCATGGCATAGATAACTCGAGGCATGGGGAACATGGAGCCTAAAAGACTAGATCGGAGAAAACAAAGTGCATCTGTAACACTGGCTCATCAGGAAAAAAGGCACCATAATGTGACCATGATGTGGTTTGCCATACGCATACCACCGAAAGGGAGCCCTGAACCTCTCACCAGGAACTGCCACCCTTCAAACTAGGTGAAGCCCATGGCTAAAAGACAAAATTCAATACATCAACCCCAGAAAAAGCACTTACTGTATGTGATGGCAAACATCTAACATAAACAAGCAAAGGATCCAGTAGTAATTTTTATGAAAAGGAAATTCTGTACTTATTCCCCGCATAACTTTAGCTGAACCAAAGGGCCAAATTACAGTGTTCAAAGAGATGGCCCTGGTCCAGGGGCCAAGGCTGGGGACAGAGAGCCAGACATGCTGAGCTGTGACGTGATGATGTTAGATAGTGGGCCACGGACTCTCCAGAATGAACGGTCAGTACCAACTCGTGGGATGGTTGATAACAAGGTGAGAAACCAGAGCATCAGGGTTGGGGTGCTGGTTCTATCTCAAGGGAAAAGAGTGACATTAAGAGCAACCCCCGTGCGTCAGGCCTTACCTGGTAGAGAGAGCACAGAGGGAGCCGACGGCCACTGCATACTTGGCACCTTCCCAGCCCACGTGCTTGAAGGCGTCAGGCAGGGGGCTGTTCTTGTCCAGGCAGAAGTAGGGCATCATGAGTGTGAGGGCGGCAGACACCCCAAAGTAAGCAATGAAGCAAATCAGGAGGGAAGCGACAATCCCCACGGGGATGGCCTTCTGAGGGTTCTTGACTTCTTCACCTAGAAGCAGCAAGGAGTCAGGCCCAGGAGAGCAAGACAGTGAGGGGCAGCCCCATGAACCCAGAAGGTGCCCGAGGACGTGCAGTGTCCAGACAGTCCAGGCCACCCATAAATGACCGCCCCGCAGTGCTCAGCCCAATGGGAAGCAGGGACTTTGGGGCTTCTGGGAACCAGCAGGGGGCTCTCCTAACACAGACCAGCAGACTCGTACGCCCAGGGATGGCATTCTAGGCCTTTGCTCCATGGCTCAGCCAAGGAAAAGACTTGTTTCCTTTGGCAGAGAAAATTCAGGAGGCTGATAGAGCCCAGCCTATTCAATCGCAAGAATAACAATATTTTTAATGGCCTCATCTCTCCCGGATGATGCACAGATATGAAACCAGGCTGCAGCCGCGGCTGTCATTATCCCAGTCTAACAGCTGAGCGGTTAGTCACGTTCATGATGCAGATTTTCCTGTCAGGCGCTGCTGCTTGGGGAAGTGATAAAAGGCGGGGAAAGATTAGCAGGAAGCCACAAGTGTACACGTTACTCCTGTGTGAAAGAGCGGCAGCCGGCACATGCCTGCAGGAAGGAAAACCGCAGCCCGTGGGTAAAACTGGCCCAGCCCACCTGATGAGGAAGGAGGACCCTCGGCCCGGGCTCCAGGCAGTGGGCGGCGGCCTACCTGTGGTGGCGATGCAGTCAAAGCCCACGAAGGCATAGAAGCAGGTTGCTGCTCCTGACAGGACCCCCGAGAACCCGAAGGGCATGAATCCACCACCGCCGGGCTTCCCTACTTTTGTGTCACTAGAATAAAAGAGCCAAAGATCATTACCACCCACGTCGCAGTCCTGAAGAGAAGCCGTTCCAGTCGCCCTACCCACTGCTGGGCAGGGGCACTCCAGACCCTTGGAGAATGACTCCCAAGGCGGCTGTCACCCCAGCCGGTGAGTCACTGGCCACTGCTCTGTGAGGCCTGCAGCCACGGGTACCCTCACTAAGCCCGGTCCGGAATGGGGAGGGCGCAGCAACCCAGGGGGCCAACGGGGAGGTGGGAACAGCCAACCCATGAGCCTCTCCCCCAGGACCCTCAAACAAACACCACATTAGAAAAAGCGCTGTCACCTGGGTGCAGCCGCCCCCCCAACCAGGAACCAAATGTAAAAAGTTTCCTATATTTACCAGTAACTCAAGTCTCAAAAGAAGCAGAGATACTGAGGTTTAAAAAAAAAAAAAAAAGAAAAACTGTCTTCGTCAACAAGAGCATTTCCCAAGCCCCACAGCACATGGTAAACAGGGATGTGGACATGGTTGTGGACCAGTGCCCCCCAGTGCCTCCCAGCACCCAGCATGGCTCAGGCGGGGCGCAGGGCCTATCTGCCAACGTAACAGACACAGTCCAACACTTTGTAAACCCTGGAGGTCCTTAAGATTCAGGAAATAGTTCCAAGGAAGTGAAACTGAGTCTCTAAATAGCGTGTCCAGGCCCAGAATGGCCACATGGGACCTGGGCTGGATCCCTCTCGTCGTTCTGGACGGCTACTCCAGGCCCCACCCATCACGGGGTGATTCTAAGCCTCATACACCCCAGGCCTCTGGCACCGCCTGAAAAACAGAAGACCTCCCAGCCCAGAAAGGGTGGCTTGGCTCCTCCCTCACCAGCCACATGTTTAGCTGGCTGCAGGCTGCAGGCCTTCTGTCGCACAGTCACCTAACAGAGTCCCTGAAGACGGTCCCCACCTCCCCTTGGTCCCTCCTAACTCAGCAAGCTGACAACTGCCTGGCTCTGCAGGGGAAGCTGCCCTTGACCACTTGACTTCCAAACATATGAAGGGGAGCCATAGAGAATATTCCAGTCCTACAAAGATGTTAAGGCTGGGTTAGCAAATCATTGGTCAAATTTGCTTGCAGAGGGGTTTACCGACTAATAAAACAGATAACCACTTTAGACCCAGTATTTCCTAATAGTGAGCCTGGTACTGATTCCTACAGGGTTCTTGGTTTCAGAATCTGCTGCTGAGTCCCTGGACATGAGAGCGTGAAGCAGGCCCTTAGTCTGGCACTTAATACAGTTCAGTAAGTAGCAATGTGAGGGAGACCCCCAGAAACACACAAGCAATAGACGTAGGAAAAATTGTTGCCAGACTCAAAGGGAAGTTGTCAATTTAAGCTGGGATGAAAATAAACCCACAACCCAAGTACAAAAATGGCAGCCCAGGACAAGTCAGTCAGCAAGCCACAGGCCGCACCCGCGCATCCACACATCACAAAGGACGTATGATGCCCTGGTGGGCTGATGCCTATGACAAAAGATTTAGGCCAAAGCCCAAAACAAAAGAGCTGACAGCCAAATCACTCAGGAGAGAGGGATAAGAAGATAAATGAAGGGGACTCATGATTGAGATGATTCTGGGGGCTCCTGGGACTTCCTGGACAAAGTCCTGGGGACTTCTGAACGCAACTAGAACATAAGGTCTTCGTCAGGACCCAGCCTCCCTAAAACGGCCAGGACAGAGAGACGGGTGTGTAAGGCCTCCAGACGCCCGCCCACCTCGGCGAGCCCACTAACACCCAGGGCTACACAACAGCCGCAAATAGGAATAAACGAGCGCTAGGACTGACGGGTTTGCTTTAAACAACCACAAGGCAGAGGCACCACAAAGGTTTTGGGAATTCCATTTGAAGGGAAGAGGAAAATGCAGGACACTACAAACATCAAACCCTGGAAAGAGGCTTTGCAGAAGAGGACTGGGCCTGAACGCACCTTCGTCATGCGAACAGGCAAAGCGGGGACCACCAAGCCCAGGGCTGGGGACAGCGAGCAGAGCACAACGGCAGTGTCCTCCCCGCTGCTCGGGACGGCAGCAGGGGCGGAATCCAATGGAAGGGGAGCGACACAGAAGGTCTGAACCTGCATGAACTCCAGGGGCCACCAATGGGAGTAACCTGGCTGCCATCGACTTGAGTCCCTTCTGGACCATCGCCACACGGGTGCCCGGACACCACACAATCACAAAGGACAAGGTCCTCGAATGAAAAGCCCTGTGGGAAATGCTAGCAAGGGAAACACGCAAGGTGCAGAAAAGTGGATAGAGGTTGCTTTTCATGTAAAAAGAGAGGGAATATACACCTGAATTATGTCTATCAGTTACATAATAAATATAAACGTATACTTACAATTGCTTCTATTTATACAGATAAAAGCTGGAAGCTTTTACACAAAGATAATGAAAATGACCACTGTGGTGGGGGGACAATGAGGTAGATGAAGGAATGGGAACACAATTTCTCAGTGTAAACCTTTTTATAACATCATAATGCATGAACCACGTGAAAACATCATCTACTCAAAACACTAAGTTCGACGTTTGAGAACAGCGTGGGTATTCCGCTTTCAGGGGCAGCGTAGTGCCAGGATACCACCACAGAACCCGCTCTACTGGCCTCAAACCAAAACATGTTGTAAAGGCTCTTTATGTAAATCAGTAACTGACCCCCGTTATCTGCGTGTGGTGGCTGTGCCCCTCGGCACCTGGCAACTTACACACGAGGAAACGGGGAGGCGGGATCATGCCACCACCTGGCCGATGTCGCCTGGCCCTGGTGACAGAGCAGGCTGAAGCCAGGTCTTAGACCAGTGCCGCTGCTCCCACAGCAGGGTGGCCAGCTCTCCGCATGCCACTCAACCGGTGACCCAGACGTTGGCAGAAAGAGTAGCTGGCAGAGGAAGGAAGGAAAAACCATCTTGTGTTCATAAACACCCCTGAGCCCCGGGGTGAGGCCTTGAGAGGGGGCTTCCACGGTGGGGAGGGGGTCCTCTCCTCGGTGTGGCCTTTTCCCCCAACAGCAGTGGAAAGCATCCTTCATCAAGACTCAACCCTTGTAACTTCCGCATGTCACCCTGACAGAAACTGCCAGTTGTCCCCAGACGCCACACCCCCTTCCTCTTCCCAGTAATAACGCTGCAATATGGTAGGTAGGCACGGGAGCACTAAGGATAAAGACAACATGCTTCTCAGATGCTCCAGCTACAAGGTGCAGCCACTTGACTTAGGCAGGCATGGTGCACACATCTCCTGAGAAACGTCAGGCAAGTGAAGTGAGAGGAAGAGTGCTCTACTACTTTTCTCATTTCTTTCCGGCTGGTGGGAGCCATCTTGGACCCTGGGGTGACCTTGGGAATGGAGGCCATGGACAAGGCCATCAGATGGAAGAATTGGACTCCTTGGACCACCAAAGTAATGAGCTGGGCTGACCGCCTGCAGATGCTGACTTGCGAGAACGAAGCCTTTATCTTAGGAAAGCCAATGATATTTTTGGGTTTTCATCCTAACTGACAAGAAACTCTCCAACCAAACCTTCTCAGTGGGTTTCCAGGCCGGACTGTAGCTTTACACTTACTACATCTGTCACCCATCTATAGGACTCTGGAGAGGGAAGCCAGAGGTAGCAGCGCATGTTGAAGGCAGTAGGCAACCAGCCAGACTGTCAGACGACATTCCTATTTCAGACCAAGCGACAGACTCCAAGGTTCACAGGGGCCTTTACAGCCAGTCACGGAGGGAGCATCATAATATCACAACCCAGCATGGTCAGAACTGCCACCAAAGCCACGCAGCCTCAAGCTCCTCTGTGCTGAGTGGTTTGGTTGGGAAAAGCTCTATTGTTTCAGAGAGACAAGCAATTTCATGCAAGACTACACGGCCATGGTCAGAAATACAAATCTACGGCTGGAGGAAAAAAAAAGAAAAGAAAAGGAGGCAGTTTACAGGTTTTAATAAAATGAAAGACCAAGCTTTGCCCTGGACCTGCAGCACTGTGCCGCAGAGGCAGCGCTCCCGGGGCAAGGGCCAGCGCCCTTCATCATCACCAGGACACAAAGTGTGTGAGGACAACCAATGACAGTAAGAACCATCAGCTGGCACAAACCATCTCTTCCTAAAAACAATACAATTACGTCTCGGTCAACAACCAGGAAATAAGCCCTTCCATCTATATTTAATTCCTGCTCTGTAAATAGCAACCAGAAACACAGTCCCCCAAGTGTTCAAACTCTACTATTACTTCCCAGCTTATTTGGAACTGGCTTCACTCCACGCTGAGTTAACAGGCACCAATAAACGTGGCATAAATACGACTCAGGAATGCTACATTAAAAATCCTCATTTCTCAGGGGCGCCAGGTTGGCTCAGTCAGTAGAGCATGCAACTCTGAATCTTGGGGTCATGAGTTCAAGCCCTATGTGGGCTGAGAGCTGCTTATTTAAAAGAATTTAAAATCTCTTATCTCTGTAATAGTTTAGTCCCCAAAAGGCGCTTTGTATTTGAACTGTTAACCACATAATATTTCTCGCATTTAATTCAAGAGTTTCCTGTTTGCATTCCAGTAGTGAACTAGTCACATGCATCAATGCCTGTCCAGTGACCAGACAGCTGGAAGATAAGAGGGCGCCCTACCTAACCAGAGACCAAGTTCGCCCGTGACTGCTCGGATGCCCGGCGTGGGACCTTGTTTCTCAGCATCCCTTAGAGCTAGATGGGGCCCCTACTGGGTTCCCACCCGTGGCATGTCAGCAGAAGGGACATGCATCTTCAGGGTCTGCCCTGGGAAGCCCTGGGCATGCTCTCTTCCGCCCCCTTCCCTCTCTGGGAAAGCTGGACTTTGCCCGTGCCCACAGCCCGGGTCTGACCGTAGAGGACAATCCTCGGGCATGACAGGCCAGCCAGGTGGATGACCAGAGTCCCTGAAAGCCTGTGTGCAGCCACGATGGCCGTCAACCTGGCCCTCCTTTTACAAGCACTGCATTTCTGGAGGGTCCTCCTTATCAGAGCAGTTTAACCTTTGGTCGTAATTAAAACAGAATCACAAACTCTCACTCCCCATTCTCCATCCCAGGACCCTAAGATTCTCCTGAAAAATCTGACCAACCAAGATCAGAAAGAGAACATTCTGATTGGCTGGTTTTGTTTCCTAGGTAATCTGAGCTTGCTGATAAGGCTTCACGGAGCGCCCTGAAAGAGGACAGGTCTGAGAGCAGGCCTGTCACTTGACTCCAACTCTGGGTGCCTTGAGTCAGAGATTATGAGGGCAATGGGGCCACTGGCTTTCAGGGCTGGTGTACCCCAAGATGACAGCAGGAAAAAGAGACTATTATAATCACATTTTGACACTTCAGTAATTCGGAAAACCTCTGACCAAAGCGGTGATAAAAGTTTCATGTACTTCCTCCCTCGACGTTATTAATAGGAAGACGTTTCAAAATAAGGTGATACCACCATGGTTTTGCAGAGAAAATCTTTGTTGAATATAACATTTAGAGGTTGGTCATGAAACAGAATATGAGGAAAAATAGATAACTTTTGGAGTCTGACAATGATCTCCAAAGATGTGTAATTCTAGAATTAGAATGAAATTTTGTTTTCCTGAATACCCTCATCATACAATGTTCTGTCAAGTTCAGGGAAACGAAACCTAGCACCAATTTCAAAAAATTTACTGCAAAAACAAAAAAGTTAATTCAAATTCAAATTATATTTGTTATAAAGGCACACACTCTTCTAGCCAATCACATGCCCCTGATGCTAGTGTGTGTTGTTAAGTACGAGTCAGCTGCCACATGCTGAGAGGAAGACTCAACGACTCACTTGTTCAGGCAGAGATGGTGGGATGTGTTCCTGAAATCCTCCTCCGTGAGCTGCCAGTTTTTAATCGACCCTTTCACGAACCCCGACACCATTATGAAGCCCAAGACCAGAACGTTGACGCAGGTGAATATTTTGTTGACCATGGTTGACTCTTTCACGCCGAGAGTTAAAAGTCCTGAAAAAGCACACACACAAGAAAATTTTGCCTGAGGGTATTCACTTTGTGCCAGGCAAGTCCTTCCTGGGAAAGGATCAGGGATCAGACAGGAAGGTGACTTAAGAAGAATCCAAACGGCATCAACCATCCTAAGATTTCTGTGAGCCTCTGGGAACGGGGCTGAATTAGTAATCCTTCTAGAGGCAGGCATCAAAATAACCTAAGTCCACGGGGTGGTTCACAAAGCTATTGAAGTCAGCCTTCCAGGTCCCCTCTGGAGTGGAGGATGCCACCCAGGGGGCACCCAAGGACTGCAGAGAAGAGGAATATAATGGCCAGCTGCCCTGGAGAGCAAGTCCTTCCCAGCGATGAAGAGAAGGCCTCTTCTGGCACCTTCTCCTCTCAACTAATATACTTTCCACTCCTCTCAGGGGGGCAGGACTTTTTTTTCTCCAAGGAAGAGACCTTTTGCTCAGTTTCTTGGTAAAACGAAGGGGGTTTTTCAGATATGAAAATTATCAGACTCACTTTGGAACGTTAGTGGTATCAGCAATGACAACTCCTGATGATTACGGAACCACTGATTATGCAGTTTGTCAGCGGACTCAGAGCATATAACGCAATGTCTCAGCTAGACTAGCTACAGCTCATAGACTCACAATAAGGAAAAAAAAAGACAAGTGATCACAACACACAGGAACCACAGGACAACACCGTTTCTGAGGCTGAGAGGTCACAGGATCACCTTGGGGTAAAGGTACCCTTTGGGGACTTCTGTGGCTAAACTCCTGGCTGGCTAAGAAAAGCTTGGGAAGATGTCCAGGCGACGGGGGTGACCACTGCTTAGGACTTGAGAGTGCTGCCCTGCCACACAGAATATAAAATGCATTTCACTAGAGACTGAATCCTGAAGTGAAGGCATTAGAAGGGAAGTGAGCAATTAATCACAGGGAACACCTCGCTCTGTTTTCTCTTTGGCATCCCTCCCTCTCATGTTTATGAAAATCTCACTAGTGCGAACTTAATTTCTGACCCACGTTCCTGCCAGCTGGGCCAGAAGACTGCTGAGACTGGCCTGCGGAAGATGATTTCAATTACATGGTGCGTAAAATAAGGCATGTTGTTTTTAAAAGCCATCCAGCATTTTCCAGCCTCAAAGGGAAATTTATCTGCATTCAGCCCAATACTCGCCCAGTAAGTTCCACATGGAACAAAAGTCCCATCCTCGAGGCTGAGACACAGACAAAGGTCACTAGGAAGACGCTGCCATCCGCTGTGTTCAAGCAACATCTGGATTTTTAAAATTCTGGACCCATGATTCTCTCGTGACACTTATCTATTTAAAGGGCATTTTGATGGCTGTTAGGTGTAAACTACCTAAGACTTCTCCAACGCCCAAGGCACACACTGGAGCTCAGACTGACCTCACCCTGCATCCTCCTGGCTGAAGGATGCCACCATCCCTTCCAAATGCTCGCCCACCCAAGGGAGCTTATACACCTGGGTCACTTGTACAAAACGCTCACAATCCTAACAAAATCCTACTCCACAAACCACTACACAAACTCTCCTTTAACTAAATGGCATGCAGCTCTGGCAGCTATTCAGCAGGCCAACCTTGTGTGTACAAGCAGCCATTAGGACAAAAAAGATGTCTGCATTCGTTACAGAAAGAAAAGAAGAAAATGAGGGGCAGGGAGAAAGAGAAAAGGAAGAGAAAGACTTAACCGGGGCCTGTCTCACCCCTCAGGCCACTCACTGCAACCTGCGTGGCACTGTGGGGCTTTACCTGTTAGGATAAGGATTATGATCACAGCAAATATGTCTGGGTTCTCAGCCAGCACCCCGGGGGCATTCAGAGCCATATGCTTCCGCGAGAACTCCCCAATGGGTTTGCCGATCAGCTCATCGAACGTTGCGCTCCAGGCCCTCGCCACGCTTGAAGTACCTGCCACGAGACACACGCACCAGAGGAAATGAAGGAAAACAATGAACAGTATTTGTCAGCAAGCTCCCCTCCACAGCCTCTGTGTGGGGCCCCAGATGATGCACTGGGACGCGGTGGCAGCAGCCAGACCCCGGCCTGTGCTAGCCCGGAAGTGAGACTCAGTGTCTGCAGTGAAGTGAGAAGGGGCCAGCTTCACGGGCCTGGAAACAACTTTCCATCACAACCCAGCATGAGCACGTACACTGTGTCCCAAACACATGACTGGGTAGCAAACGTTTTACAAAACAGCGTTATTACCCTGATCACCTGAGATGCACTCAGAGTATTCATTCAACTCTGCATATTTTATTTCGTTACTAAAAGAAAACTGGTGGTAAATCGCAGCACTGACTTTGTGATCCACTCACCAGGTGCGGTCAGCAGCTGGAGGCACCTGGCTCAGGAGGCAACTTCTCCAAGACCCTCCTGGCGACAGAGCTGATGGCCCCCATCCACAGGTGAACGCTGTTCTCCCAGCAAGTGGGGGACCAATGAGACCCACACATGCTGGCCCTCACCCCAGCCACAAAGTCATGGGCTTACCCCCAGCAGGCGTCAGCCCACCTCTGCCACTTGTGTGACCAAATCTGGCACCTGATCCAGGGGCCACAGGTCCCCAGGTGTCTGACCACAGACAGAGCCACCTCCACACCCCCTACCACGAGGAACTCACACAGATGCAGCACCATGAATGCCACCGACCCATGGCTGTGCCCTCTCCCTACCAGCCTGGATAAAGTCACAGCTTTTCCAGGAAATGTCACTAAAATTCCAGGATTCACATAGAGCATTTTCCTTTGTTTTCAAGGGGGCTTTACTAGTGACTGTGGTCTGGGTCACCCACAGGATTCAGCCAGAGGGAACTACAGAGATTCAGTGTTATTTGCTATCCTGTGGAGTGTTTTTTTACATCAGCTCAGAAATTTAACCATGTTTCTTCATCCTCAGCGTCCAGCCTATTATGACTTCTGTCCCTCAAGGCCACACAGCCCAGTGAAGACAACTAGTCTCCCCACCACCTTCCCTACAGAGGCCAGCTCCCTGCAGATCAGGCTCCAAGGCTTGCCGTGAGGGTGGGGGCCGCCCAGCCTTCCTTCCTGGCCTACCCCACTCCCTAGCTCTGCAACATGGCTTAAAATACACACACACACACAGACACACACACACACACACACACACGTTTGCTTAAAATACACACACACACACACACACACACACACACACACGTTTGCTAGGAAAAACTGCCCTTCCCTGAAACCTAAAGCTGAGACTCACCCACAATAACACATGTGTGAGTCAGTCGGCTACAAGCAAACACCGCTCTGGCAAGTAATCTTTCATTTGTTGGTGTGGTGGCAGCGGGCAATTCATGCTCCTGGTTTTGCTTTAGGCCCAGGGAAATCCTCTGGGAACAGAACAGCCCATTTAAGATGGCTACGTCCCCACTCAGGGACCTGAGCTTGTATGAGTATTTGTGGTTATAAGTTTTAATGCTGTGCTGAAAAAAAAAACAAAACTGAAAACTCCCATTATTACGAATTTTATTTTCGAATGCAGAAGCATGAGCTATGGTGGCTGTCTGGTAGCAGTCACTGAAAAGAAAGGGATGTGCCCCTCAGAGAGCCTGGTGGGAGTCCTCCGCCAGATGGCCTGGGCAAGCCGCAGTGGGGGCCCTGCACAGAGCCCAGGGCCAGCACCCAGCGGGTAGCACACGGCCCCCTACGACATTCCCAGTGCAGGGGACGCAGGAGCGAGCCGGGACCCGCTTACCACATCTTCCTGTGTTTTGATGATATTACAAAAAGCTTGCTGAAACATCAATGGAATGTTTAGTGGCTATTTATATTTCTACTTTTAGGAACTGGCCATTCATATCCTTTGGTTATTCTTATACTCAGGTGTTTGTCTCTTTTAAGTTGATGTGTTCAACTCTGGTTGTAATAAAAAAAACAACACAAAGAGAAACAACACCTTCTCGCCCACCAAAGTGAGAAGACTTTATTTTTTTAGTGTTTTTGTTTATCAGTTGTTTTTTTTTTTAATGCCAATGCCCAGGGTGATTAAGTATGTGAGGAAAGGGGCCTCTGGCCATCTGAAGGATCACAGGTAATATGGGCCTTAAAAATACACAGGCCTAAGGGGTGCCTGGGTGCCTCAGTTGGTTAAGCACCTGCCTTCACCTCAGGTCATGATCTCAGGGTTTGTAACTTCGAGGCCCGCATCGGGCTCTCTGAGCAGAGCCCACTTCTGATCCTCTGTCCCCCTCTCTCTCTGCCCCTGCCCCACATACTCGCTCTCTCTCTTAAAAATAAATAAACTTAAAAGAAAAAAAAAAAGAACGGCTGACATGCTCAACAACAAGAGAACAATACGCAGGCCTGGGCGCCTAGGTGGCTCAGAAGGTTGAGACAGCTCAGGTCATGATCTCCCGGTTTCTGGCCTCAAGCCCCACGTCGGGATCTGCGCTGGCAGCCCGGCCTGCTTGATCTTCTCCCTCCCTCTCTACCTGCCCTCCCCTCCTAGTGTTCTCTCTCTCCAAATAAATAAATAAACACCTTTTAAAAATATGCAGCCCACTGACCTAGACATCCTGCTTCTTAAGATCATTTTAAAGGAAAAAAAAAAAAATCATGGCTACACCCAAAGACATTAAGTGATTAACTGTTTATAAAAATAGTAACACAACTGGAAACAGCCTAAATACCCCACAGGACATCTAAAAAATCATGCTATGTAGAGAAAACTATATAATGGTATACAGTCATTTGGAATATCACTACAGAAAAATCCTTAATACTATGAGAAATCCTTACTATATACTGTTTTATCAATAAAGAGACATGCTGGACAAAAACTATGCATTTATGGTTACAAAAATATTAACAATAGTCAGATCCCCAAACTCTTAAGAACAGAGATTATTTTACTCTTTCATTGGGTCCCTAATATCTAGCACAATGTCTGGCACAGAGGATGGACTCAATAAATATTTGTTGAAAGAACGAATGAATGAATAATTTCTCTGGGTTGTTAGATCGGGCAATGTCTACTTTCTGCTTCACACTTTTCTGTATTTCCCAAATTTTTCTCTATCAGTGATGTGTTTAGTAATCGTAATCAAAAATACTAAAAGGGACTATACTCTTTTAAGTAACAGCAACTTCCCATTGACTCTACGGCTCTTGTGTTACCAGGACTGACATCCTCGTTGGCCTGGCTTGTACCTTGCTAACAGTCTGACATGCCTGACTGTTAAATACAGGGGCACAGACCAGAAAGAGCAGTGATCCCCAAAGGCCGCCCCCTCCTTTCATATAAGGGAAAGGGAACATGTACAACAGTCAAGGGAGGAGCTAGACTTCCAGGGAGAAGCTAGACTTGGTCCATTTGGGGAGCCAAGCTGAGCAAGGCCCATGGTTTGGAGGTGAGAACAGCAGAGGGGGAAGGGACCAGGCTCCAGGCCTCCTGTGACGTACCGATGATGTAGGAGAGGATTAGGTTCCAACCAGTGATGAAGGCCCAGAGCTCCCCGACGGTGACGTAGCTGTAGAGGTAGGCCGAGCCCGTCTTGGGGACCCGAGCACCAAACTCTCCGTAGCAGAGGCCGGCCAGCACCGAGGCCAGCGCCGCAATCAGGAAGGAGATGACGATGGCAGGGCCCGCGTCCTCACGGGCCACAGCCCCAGCCAGGACGTACACGCCAGCACCGAGCGTGCTGCCCACCCCGAGAGCCACCAGGTCAAAAGTGTTCAGGCAGCGAGAGAGCCGGCTCTCCTCCCGGCTACAGTCCACGACCTTCCGGCGCAGCATCTGGTTCCCAATGCCGAGCAGAACTTTGCACCCCATTGCGCTGTTCAAACCTGTGGGAGGAAAAGATCCAAAGTGTTCGTTATTGCCTTTCTTTCCACCCGTAACCTCGTCTCTCGCAACACAGATGGCCACCATGTCCTTTACTGCAAAAATACTTTAAATCCCAGAACTCCACAACTGGTTATTCCAACATGCGCCTGCAAGTTCTCCCAGCCCCAGGCTTGCCCAGCATGGACGGAAATGCCGGGGAGGTCAATCTACCCAGCTGCCTGCACTTCGAGGTCTCTGGGCTGCCGCATTTACTCCAGTTCTCAGTTGAGAGCATTCTATGGACAGAAATTACACAGTATGAGAAACACAAACGAACGGCATTGTTCTTGCCCTCAACAATCATACAATGTACCATAAAAAACAAGATGTTATTCCAAGTATAATGCTATGGAAGGCAAACGGATCCATATTTAATTATTAAAACCCAAGGGCCTTGAATAGCAATAACGATGCCTTTTCAGACCTTGCTGGGATCCCCTGAGGGCAAGAACCAAGCTGCTTCTGCTTTTAAGTTAATACAGAGTTAGGTACAGAGAAGAAAAAAATGTTGGATTATTATAAATTAGGGGTGTTTATAACTGTTACCACTCCAAGAGGCCCTTTTCTTCCGGGCCAAAACAGCCCAATGTGCTACATGATATGCTTCTGAGCACAGATCAAGAGAGGGCACGTGTTCACCAATGGCTTGCATCATCCAACCTGCTTCACCCGGAACAAGCCCAGGGCGGGGCCCCAGGATGCGTGCACATAATGGACCGCATCCCAGGCCAGCACTTCAATCCCTCTCCTGTAACACACAGGCCAACCTTGCCTGGGCAGTTCATCCCACAGGGGTGAGGAGGGCCAGCGAGCCATTGGCCAGGATACCAGCACCCACCCTCAAAGACATGGAACGAACCTCCCCAGCCTCAAGGGGACTGCCCACATGACTTCCTTCCACAGAGGGCAGCCTGGAAAAGACAGAAAAACAGTGGAGAAACCAAACCAACACTACCTCGGCCAGGGGGCCATGGTCCACAAGGATAAACATTGGATTAGGTAATGTGACGAGAAGGGCACTTGACCTCTGTGATCTTCCTCCTCAAGCCCATCGCCCCAGTCTAATCATGAGAATACTATCAGACAACTGACAGACAGGGAACATTCTACAAAACACCTGGCCCGAGCTCCTCATAACTGTCAGGTCCTCAGGAACAAGGGAAGGTCAAGAAACTGTCACAGCCAAGAGGAGCCGAAGGGACACATGGCAGCTAAATGTAACGTGGGATCCTGGATGGGATCCTGAAGTAGAAAAAAGATAAGGGGAAAACTAACAAAATCTAAACAAAGCACAGGCATTCGTTGTATCCGTATCAGGTCACTGGGGGTTGTAACTGATCATCCGCACTAAGGTGCTAACAATAGAGGAAACAAACAAGTGTGGAGTATAAGGAACTCTCTGTACGATCTTCAGTTTCTCTAAATCTAAAACTGTTCTAAACTGAAGAGTTTATTTTCAAAAAACACCACGTGCAGAGAGAAGCTATCATCATGACTTTTAGCTACCGAGGTACAAAAAGATCACTGCTAGGGGCACCTGGGTGGCTTAGTCGGTTAAGCGTCCGACTTTCGCTTAGGTCATGATCTCGCGGTTCGTGGGTTCGGGCCCCGCGTCGGGCTCTGTGCTGACTGCCAGCTCAGAGCCTGGAGCCTGTTTCAGTCTGTGACTCCCTCTCTCTCTGACCCTCCCCTGCTCACGCTGTCTCTCTCTCTCTTTCCTAGAAATAAATAAAAAACAATAAAAAAAAAAAGATCACTGCTTTTTCATCTTTATTATCAACTGGCATTTACTGACCTAACGTTGCTACAATTAAGTCACTGGAAAACAAAATAACCTAAATGGAAAATGGCAGACCTCGCCAAGTCCATACCTAACCACCTGAAACACCTGGCCTCGCAGCCACGCCCTGTGCCCTCCGCCCCCAGGCTCTGGCAGGACCCTCTGTGCAGTCACACAGGAACAGGGATGGGCCTCTCTGCACTTCACCTGACCAGGCAGGAAAAAAAAAATGTTGATCTCAAGACTCAGAAGTTTCCAGCTAGGAGGAGGAATAAGAGTCATGTGTTCTGAGCCCCTTGTATAAAGATGAAGAGAAATGACTCAGAGCCAAGGGTCAAACAAGGTCACGGAGCTGGGAAGGCACAGTGGCCCCAGCTCTAGGGCTCCGGCATTCCAGGTGGGAAGGAAATGACATCATTGTGCAGTGAGGCAGGGAGGATGTGGGGAGGAAATGAGGAAAGACGACATTATTTGTGGAGCAGGAAAGCCCCATACAGGAGGGGGTGACAAGCAGAAAAGGGCAGGCGACGGGAACGAGGGAAGAGCAGGCAGAGAGACCAGGGCTCACCGGTCTGTTTCAGGCCACATGCTGCCTCTGAGGTGCCGGGACAGCAGCGGCGATGCCTGGGCCAGGCAGGTTTCTCAGATCATCACGGTGAGGCCCTGAGTGGCCTGCTGGGGCCTCGGGTCCTGGAGAAGGCCGCAGCTCTGCTGAGCGAGCCCAGGGTGCCATTCCTCCTGGACCCGCCTTGTTTTTTCCTCCTTACAGGATTTAGCTGGATTTATTCAACTCAGACTGTAAATCAGAACCAAGCTTTTAGGAAATAACTGCTTGGATAATGAGCTAAAGATGCACCATTTCAACACAAGCGCCAGCAGCAAAGTCTGCACTAGGGGGTATGCAGAATGCCTGCAAAATAGCTTCCCGGCATCATTTTTGGCAGGGGGGGTCCTCTGAGGGGGACAGGAGCCTCACGGGCAGCGGGTGCGGAAGGTCCTGCCTGGTGTGCACCTGCACGGCCTTCAGGCTGGTTGGTAAACGCAGCTGACATTTAGAGAGTGCCTCCCTGCTCCCCCCCCCACCCCCACCAGATGTAGTCGAGTTAGTAAGTGGATTCTCTCCCTGAACAGTAAAAGCCAGCGCGAGGCAAAGACGGTGTAATTAAATGGCACCTTCTTTCCTCGGCCTCGCAGAGTGAAGTAACCCAGGGGCCCAGAAGGCTGGGACGAGCGTGCCTTCCTCCGAAGGCTCAGACACATTCTGTCTCCGTGGTTCACACCCCTTTCCCCAAAGTTTGTGTTGTCTGGAGCAGAAGGAAAAGCTGCTGGAGCCTGGCACAAGACGGGCACACGCTTCTGCGCCTCCTCGGGACGGAAGGCGAACGAGAGCCCCGTGACCCCCTCAGGCCAAAGTGAGCCACCAAGACGTGCAGGGCAGCGCGCCGGGCGGGCACGCACCTGCCAGCCGAACACCCGCACCAAGAACTCACTTCCTCATGTGGGGGACTCAGCACCGTCTTCAAAATAAAGGGGGCAGGTTATGCACGTAGAAATGTAGATGCAGACGGTGGTTTTCAAACACAGTGTGAAAAGAGAACTCTTTGTCGAGAGTACAAAACACGACCAGACAGACACGGTTCATTTCTTTTCAACAGGCACGCAGTGGCCCTTCTCTCTGGGGACAGCCCTCGGCTGTTCCTTGCCCCCGGCGGCCCTGGGCAAAGTGCCCTGTGACCCGCTGCGTGGGGAGCACGCAGGGACCCGAGAGGGCATCAGCCTCCCACTAGTTTTACCCTGGTTGCTTTGCTTTGCTTCTCCTCTTTCTCAGTTTTTATCACTGAGGGACAGCTGAGGTGCCGTGTTCTATCTGACCTTGGTCACCACTGGAAGTACTTACTGCTTGGTTATCTGGAGAAAGGGTACGGAGCTCAGGGAAGAAAGACAGTCAAACGCTGCGGGGGCCCAGAGCTGACAGCTCAGGGAGACAAGAGTCTCCAGTCAGGTTCTACTTTCCAGGGTTGCTGAAAATGAGATACCCGCCATGTCCTGGGCTTATTTTTAAGAAACAGTCTTTCTGTCTCCTTAGAAGTGGCATAAAACGACATTCTCCGAGTGGCATCATCTGGCAGGATTCTGTACACATCATGCCACCACTTATGTTCGTGCTGAGACCCTAAAGCTCGTCATCCAACCAACAGTGAGATAAAATAACGCTTACCTGTGTCAAACGAATCTAACCATTTGAGTGCCTGCAGTGGTCGGCTGTCCTGGCCTTCCTGCTGTGGGGGCTTACACAGGAAGCTGCCCCAAGGCTTGGAAAGCATTCCCTGAAAATCAGGCTATCCTTTCTTGTGGGGAGCAGTCTGTACAGTGGTCAACACCTACACTTTTATTGGAGGTTTTGACAGGAACCTTGCAACAGCAGAGTCTCAGATCTGTCTTACCCCCTGCTCATATATTATTAAAGAACACTTACCTCAGGTAGGGCATCCCCTTTGCTTTATAAAAGCAAAGAAAATCTGGCCCTTTCCCACAGAAATTCTCACTCCGAGTTTTATTCTGGTGATCACTATGTAGGAATAGGAGTTAAATGGTCCAGTGGGTCAGGATTGTGGATATAAAGACTGTTCTGAAGAGGTCCGATAAAGGTGGGCAGATGTGAATGTATGACTTTTTTTCAGTCTCAAATTTAATTAAGGCTCGAAGGAGGGAGAGAAGGGATAAGATGTAGGCCTTTATACTAAGTTCATAAATGCCATCCTTTGAAGAAAATCTTAATACTGAAATCTTCACTAAGTTACTGCTTTCACGTCTCCTTCAAGTGGTCTTCAGAATGGCCCAGGCCCGGGGAGCCACCGAGAGTGACATCTCTCACGCCAGCAGCACATACACCGTGGCCTGCGTCTGTGGCCGGCTAGAGAAAGCAGGGCTTTGCCAGGTGCTGGCCTCATTGGGCACCAGTAACGGGTGGGCACACAGCCGATGAAGTGGCTTCAGCTTCCCTGCGGCATGGGAGCTGGCCTACCACGTGGCGGGGTGTGAGCTGCCCCCAGGCACCCAGAGGGCCACAGAGTGCCTGCAAGTCCAACACGGAAGGGAATGGGCTGTTCACAGCCGTGACCTGTGACCAGGCGGCGGAAGAGGTCCAAGAAAAGAGCGCTCTGGGGCGTGGGCTGTGGG